GAACAAACAAAAACTAAAGGAATTTGCAAACATAAAACCAGCCCTACAAGAAATATTGAAAGGGGTCCTCTGAGCAAAGAGAGAGCCTAAAAGCAACATAGACCAGAAAGGAACACAGACAATATACAGTAACAGTCACCTTACAGGCAATACAATGGCACAAAATTCATATCTTTCAATAGTTACCCTGAATGTAAATGGGCTAAAGGCCCCAATCAAAAGACACAGGCTATCGGATTGGATAAAAAAACAAGACCCATTGATATGCTGTCTGCAAGAGACTCATTTTAGACCCAGAGACACCTCCAGATTGAAAGTGAAGGGGTGGAAAATGATTTACCATGCTAATGGACACCAAAAGAAAGCTGGGGTGGCAATCCTTATATCAGACAAATTAGATTTTAAACCAAAGACTGTAATAAGAAATGAGGAAGGACACTATATCCTACTTAAAGGGCCTATACAACAAGAAGATCTAACAATTGTAAATATCTACGTCCCTAACATGGGAGCAGACAATTATATAAGCCAATTAATAACAAAAGCAAAGAAACACATCGACAACAATACAATAATAGTAGGGGACTTTAACATCCCCCTCAATGAAATGGACAGATCATCTAAGCAAAAGATCAAGGAAATAAAGACTTTAAATGACACACTGGACCAAATGGACTTCACAGATATATTCAGAACATTCCATCCCAAAGCAACAGAATACACATTCTTCTCTAGTGCCCATGGAACATTCTCCAGAATAGATCACATCCTAGGTCACAAATCACGTCTCAACCAGTACCAAAAGATTGGGATCATTCCCTGCATATTTTCAGACCAGAATGCTTTGAAACTAGAACTCAATCACAAGAGGAACGTCAGAAAGAACTCAAATACATGGAGGCTAAAGAGCATCCTACTAAAGAATGAATGGGTCAACCAGGAAATTAAAGAAGACTTAAAAAAATTCATGGAAACAAATGAAAATGAAAACACAACTGTTCAAAATCTTTGGGATACAGCAAATGCAGTCCTGAGAGGAAAGTATATAGCAATACAAGCCTTTCTCAAGAAACAAGAAAGGTCTCAAATACACAGCCTAACCCTACACCTAAAGGAGCTGGAGAAAGAACAGCAAATAAAGCCTAAACCCAACAGGAGAAGAGAAAGAATAAAGATCAGAGCAGAAATCATTGAAATAGAAACCAAAAGAACAGTAGAACAGATCAATGAAACTAGGAGCTGGTTCTTTGAAAGAATTGACAAGATTGATAAACCCCTGGCCAGACTTATCAAAAAGAAAAGAGAAAGGATCCAAATCAACAAAATCATGAATGAAAGAGGAGAGATCACAATCACCACCAAAGAAATACAAACAATTATAAGAACATATTATGAGCAACTATATGCCAGCAAATTAGATAACCTGGAAGAAATGGATGCATTCCTAGAGATGTATCAACTACCAAAACTGAACCAGGAAGAAATAGAAACCCTGAACAGACCTATAACCACTAAGGAAATTGAAGCAGTCATCAAAAATCTCCCAACAAACAAAAGCCCAGGGCCAGATGGCTTCCCAGGGGAATTCTACCAAACATTTAAAGAAGAATTAATACCTATCCTTCTGAAACTGTTCCAAAAAATAGAAATGGAAGGAAAACTTCCAAACTCATTTTATGAGGCCACCGTTACCTTGATCCCCAAACCAGACAAAGACCCCATCAAAAAGGAGAATTACAGACCAATATCCTTGATGAACATGGATGTAAAAATTCTCACCAAAATACTAGCCAATAGGATCCAACAGTACATTAAAAGGATTATTCACCACGACTACATGGGATTTATCCCTGGGATGCAAGGTTGGTTCAACATCCACAAATCAATCAATGTGATACAATACATTAACAAAAGAAAGAACAAGAACCATATGATCCTCTCAATAGATGCAGAAAAAGCATTTGACAAAGTACAGCATCCTTTCTTGATCAAAATTCTTCAGAGTATAGGGATAGAGGGTACATACCTCAATATCATAAAAGCCATCTATGAAAAACCCACAGCGAATATCGTTCTCAATGGGGAAAAACTGAGAGCTTTCTCCCTAAGGTCAGGAACATGGCAAGGATGTCCACTATCACCACTGCTATTCAACATAGTATTAGAAGTCCTAGCCACGGCAATCAGACAACAAAAAGAAATAAAAGGCATCTGAATTGGCAAAGAAGAAGTCAAACTCTCACTGTTTGCAGATGATATGATACTTTATGTGGAAAACCCAAAAGACTCCACCCCAAAACTGCTAGAACTCATACAGGAATTCAGTAAAGTGGCAGGATAGAAAATCAATGCACAGAAATCAGTGGCATTCCTATACACCAACAGCAAGACAGAAGATAGAGAAATTAAGGAGTCGATCCCATTTACAATTGTACCCCAAACCATAGGAAACCTAGGAATAAATCTAACCAAAGAGGCAAAGAATCTGTACTCAGAAAACTATAAAATACTCATGAAAGAAATTGAGGAAGACACAAAGAAATGGAAAAACGTTCCATGCTCATGGACTGGAAGAACAAATATTGTGAAGATGTCAGTGCTACCTAGAGCAATGTACACATTCAAACAAGCCCCATCAAAATACCATCCACTTTTTTCAAAGAAATGGAACAAATAATCCTAAAATTTGTATGGAACCAGAAAAGACCCTGAATAGCCAGAGGAATGTTGAAAAAGAAAAACAAAGCTGGCGGCATCACAATTCCGGACTTCCAGCTCTATTACAAAGCTGTCATCATCAAGACAGTATGGTACTGGCACAAAAATAGACACATAGATCAGTGGAACAGAGTAGAGAGCCCAGAAATGGACCCTCAACTCTATGGTCAACTAATCTTCGACAAAGCAGGAAAGAATGTCAATGGAAAAAAGACAGTCTCTTCAACAAATGGTGTTGGGAAAATTGGACAGCCACATGCAGAAGAATGAAACTGGACCATTTCCTTACACCACACACAAAAATAGACTCCAAATGGTTGAAAGACCTAAATGTGAGACAGGAGTCCATCCAAATCCTAAAGGAGAACACCGGCAGCAACCTCTTCGACCTCAGCCGCAGCAACTTCTTCCTAGAAACATCTCCAAAGGCAAGGGAAGCAAGGGCAAAAATGAACTATTGGGACCCCATCAAGATAAAAAGCTTTTGCACAGCAAAAGAAACAGTCAACAAAACCAAAAGACAACCGACAGAATGGGAGAAGATATTTGCAAATGACATATCAGATAAAGGGCTAGTATCCAAAATCTATAAAAAGCTCATCAAACTCAACACCCAAAGGATAAATGATCCAATCAAGAAATGGGCAGAAGACATGAACAGACATTTTTCCAAAGAAGACATCCAAATGGCCAACAGACACATGAAAAAGTGCTCAACATCGCTCGGCATCAGGGAAATCCAAATCAAACCTCACACCAGTCAGAATGGCTAAAATTAACAAGTCAGGAAACAATAGATGTTGACGGGGATGCGGAGAAAGGGGAACCCTCCTACACTGTTGGTGGGAATGCAAGCTGGTGCAGCCACTCTGGGAAACAGGTTCTTCAAAAAGTTGAAAATAGAGCTACCATATGATCCAGCAATTGCACTACTGGGTATTTACCCCAAAGATACAAATGTAGGGATCTGAAGGGGTACGTGCACCCCGATGTTTATAGCAGCAATGTCCACAATAGCCAAACTGTGGAAAGAGCCAAGATGTCCATCGACAGATGAATGAATAAAGAAGATATGGTATATATATACAATGGAATATTATGCAGCCATCAAAAGGAATGAGATCTTGCCATTTGCAATGACGTGGATGGAACTGGAGGGTGTTATGCTGAGTGAAATAAGTCAATCAGAGAAAGACATGTATCATATGACCTCACTGATATGAGGAATTCTTAATCTCAGGAAACAACCAGAGGGTAGCTGGAGTGGTGGGGGGTGGGGGGGATGGGGTGGCTGGGTGATAGACATTGGGGAGGGTATGTGCTATGGTGAGCGCTGTGAAGTGTTCAAGACTGTTGAATCACAGATCAGTACCTCTGAACCAAATAATACATTATATGTTAAAAAGAAGAAGAAGAAGAAGAAGATAGCAGGAGGGGAAGAATGAAGTGTGGGAAATCGGAGGGGGAGACAAACCATGAGAGACGATGGACTCTGAAAAACAAACTGAGGGTTCGAGAGGGGAAGGGGGGTGGGAGGATGGGTTAGCCTGGTGATGGGTATTAAAGAGGGCATTGCATGGAGCACTGGGTGTTATATGCAAATAATGAATCATGGAACACTACATCAAAAACTAATGATGTATGGTGATTAACATAACATAATAATAAAAAATTAAAATAAAATTTAAAAAAACCTGCTTGAAATTGCCCTTACGCTATAATTCACAATTTAATACAAACAAAATTAAAATGCAAAGGTGATTTCAACGCTATAGCAAATGAATATTCATCTTTGTCACAATAATGATGTCTTTCTTTATTCAGGTATTTTGTGATAATGGAGATATCCACCTCATTCGTAAGCAGGCAAGATAAAGATGAATGCAAACGACCACCCTCCTTTCTACCTAAACAAAGGTAGGTCCTCAGTGAAACAGAAAGGTATCAAATGGCAAGGTTTCTGCATTAGTGCTGAGGTATTTCTGGGGCATAATGCTCTCTAATTTCCATAAAAATGTTGCATTTCATTCTGGTAGAAAATTAATCAGGAAAATTAACAAATAATATTTATTTTTGAAATTCAATCAATTGTGCATCAATTTCCTGAGTGACATAAAGAATTATCTTCTGTTCTTCTTTTCCCCAAGCAATTCTATACTGCATAACTTTATAAATTGGTAAAACAGGAGAGAAAATTAAAGGCCAAAAACCAAAAATCTATGAGATGAATAAACTCTGGAACTAAAATGTATTTCATTTCAATAAAATATTGCATTGCTCACCAAAGAGGCCATAGTGAACCCAATGACTTCAATATAACCATCATCATGACGCTGAGGTTCAAAATCATGGTGATCTCCTGGGTTCCCCCAGGGCATTGTGCCAGCACAATATCTGCAAGATAAGATTAAAAACAGAATTAAATTTATTCCATCGCTCTCACAATTGTCATAAGGTATTACCTTACAGTGAGATCCAACATGTATCTCACCTAAGATCAGTTTTCTGTTCTTGGTACATACCTTCTGATAGAAAAGAAAATGGTCTTATCATTTCCAAATATCCATCTGTGAAAATGGCCACAATTTTATAACACAAGCGTCTCTTGGTGCCCAACTATCCCCCAACTCATTATTTATTAACATTTCTCACTCAGTGATCCATTATGTCTGTTTTCTATGACGTGCTGTGAGTTACCCATAGGCGGTTCCAGAATTTGGTCTTGGAGGAAGACATTGCATCCCAGCAGAAAAGGGCCAAGAAACTGAGGTGGGTACACAATGGTCATTATGTGCATAACTAAGATAATAAATAACCACCGGGAAGGTAAGCAGAGAAAGGTAGCTGAGGAAGAGGAGAAAGGTATGGGAAAAGATAAGAGATGAAGAAAAAGAAGGAGAAGTAAAGGAAATTGGAAAAGGAATGGAGAGATGGGGAGCAAGAAGAAAAACAGAGAAAAAAAAATTAAAGAAGCTAATGTTTCCTGAGAAAATAATGTTTCCTGAGAATCTAGATCTTTTATGGAAATAACGAAGATGAAAATCATTCTGGAATAGGATTGTAGGTGACTATACAGAGTACTGCCAAAAGTAATCAGGAGACTGTTTTCCTAGCCATAGATTTACATACAATTCTCATTTCAATTAAATTCAGTCTAAATAGAACCTATCTGCAGATTTTGTGTCTTGAGTCGTGTGGTTTGCAAATAACAAAGGGTCATAGATTCATCCCCTCCAAAATCTTGCCTTGGGAGCCCAGACTCTAATTTTGTACCACTGAGATAATGTGCTTATTTTGAGTCTAGTTAATCTTAAATATCCCTTTCTCCTGAGGAACATAATAGCACCAAAGAGAGTTGACATCCTGGCTAGAAAATGCTACTCTAATTGATCCTATTTTTTCAAAGCAATCATCTAGCAGCAATTTTGAATGAGTTCCATGCTAAAATCAGGTTGGATGGTTTCCTAACAGCTTTTGGGAAACTGAGAACAGGGCTTTATTCAAGTCTATTATTCTTGGGAGGGAGAGGGAATCAGTAAATGAGAATTATATTAAAATGTTCCAGTAAATAGGGGTGCCTGCGTTTCTTAACAATGGATAAGTGTATACCACGCATGCCACATCACATAAAAACCACCCACCCACCACCCAGAACACTAAACAAACTGAGGAGGAGAACAAAATGATCAGACCTGGAAACCCCTAATGAGCCAGTAAGATAACTTACTTTCACTGTTTGTACCCTGGACATTTTCTATAATGAAACCCGATAACCTCAAGTCAAACGGAGTTCACATCAAACCAAAGAAAAAGGATGAACAGAGCTTACCTGGGTATATTTAAAAATACTATACACTGGAACTTCAGTTCCTGAATCTTTGGAGTGAGATCTGTTCCATCACACTGCAACAATCAAAGTAGAAAAAGGGTTTTGAAGTAGTCACAAGTCTAATATATATATTATGTATTATGCATATATATAATATATAATATATATCCTGGTCTTCTCCTTGCCCTCAACTCGCTTAAGTGCATGCCTTATGACTGAAAATGCATTCTGATTAGAACTTTAGCAGACCCAGGGTTCAGAGCATGGTTTTGTTTTGGTATAAAAAACAAAGCTGCCATTTGACCAAAATAGTTTTTCTCTGGCTTCATAAGCAAAGGAACTGCCATCATTCTTAACCTTGGAATATTAGCTATTTTAACTTGTAGTATCAACCTTAAAAGATTTATGAACATTTAAAGGAATAAAAAGTTCAGGCAGTAGGGATCTCCACCAAAGTTATCCGGGATAGTTATTTGCTTTCTGAGATCAATTTTTATTTTGAAAACACCAAACATAATATTTTGAAAACTGTTTAAGAGGACTGTATATTGCAAGCTTTTAAAAAAACTATTATAAATCAGTGGTATCTCCATTAGGGATTTGCTCTTACACATTTAATGTCTTACAGACGTTGACTGGTCCTCTGAGATAAACTGCTTTCCTGGACCTGGACGTGACCCTGGGTGTCTCAAGGGCCTCAGTCTGGCCTGGCCTCAATACCTCTGTATGGAGCTTCCCTCACCGGTTAGCACTTCCCTTGAGCATCCTCTGACTAATCAAAGAAAAGGCTTTCATTTCCCTTTCTCATTTCCCACTGGTGACAAAAGTCAAAAGAAGAAAACTCTGGTCGCGACTATAGACTTCTCAATGTCAAAGGTGTACTTTTGTATTTGCTCTCCCCAAAACCTCACCACAGAATTCCCCATTATCTTCTCTTTTGGAGAGCAAAGTAATGCATTCCCAAGCTTCCTGTGAATTTTTAAAGACTTCTTTAAAAAAAGTGTTCAGGCTAAGAACAGTGATTCTACTAGCTTTAGCATCTCATTGTTTTCCCAGCTCATCTTAATGCAGCCTAATTTTCATGGGCATGCTCCAAAAATTGTTTCCAGGAAATAATACAGCCCTAAATAAACAAATTATTTTAAAATGTTACGTAGAATCATATTCTAGATATTGATTGAAGGTGTTTTTACAATATCCTCAGACACTAAGAAAACATGCAGTCTCCAATGTAAGCACTTGGAATGAGATGATACATGACTATACCAAGGAAAATATCTTAAATTATCAAAATTGAGTGTTGTAACTAAAATTTTAAAAATAAAATACAAAGCAGTACTGTTTACCTTACAGAAAAAGAAACTGTAAAATTATTGTATTTAGAACAGAAATCTTTTTAAATTTTCTACTTTTTCTTCCTAGGAAACATGTCAGTGATTCTGGGAATTTATCAAATTATAAAAGAGTGCAATATACCATGAATCATGCTTCACAAAGTTTTCTTACATATTACTGCCTTTAAATTTTGTGTGTCTTTAGAACAGCACCCGGGTGGCTCAGATGGTTAAGCAACTGCCTCTGGCTCAGGTCATGATCTCAGGGTCCTGGGATGGAGCCCTGAGTCAGGCTCCCCGCTCAGCTGGGAGCCTGCTTCTCCCTCTGCCTCCTCCCCCCCTGCTCCTGCTCTTTCTCTCTCAAATAAATAAATAAATAAAATCTGGGAAAGAAAGAACAGCAGCTTTTAACCTTTCTCCTATTTCAAACACATGAAGGAAAATATCTGCACATAAAATACGTTCCTATACACAAGCTCACGTACTAATAAATAAAAAGAAGAAGAAGACATGGGAAAGAGAAAAAATAATGCTGTACAGAGGATTTTGTTATTGTCCTATGCTTTTCTGATGTAGTAGTCATACAAACTACACTTCTGTGAGAGATTACTACCTCCGAAATACTGACTTCACATTGCAGCAAAGATGAGATGGTCCGTTGTTACCTATACATTGCATCGCTCTAGCTAATCTACTATCCGTTCCATCTCTCACTCAAAAAACATACAGTGATGTCCTTGCAGAAATATCCTGTGTCCCTGCGTGACACATCACAATGGTCTGTAGTTGTGGTTTCAGAGACATGTCTTATGATGCCTGTTTTAAACGAGGAAAGCAAACTCTTCCGAAAGGTCACAGGATACCCCCAAAGTCATATACCTCATAAAGGTAGACCTAGGAATGAATCCTAAATATTTAGATTTGGTTTCTAATGTGGTTTTTTTTTTTTTTTCTCATCTCACACACACACACACACAAGACAGGATTACACAAACCAATTCACCTGGAATCTTGCCTGTATTGACTGATACCAAGTCTTTCCTAGTTATCTGGCAGCCATTTTGGCCTCTTTGCATTTGGATTATTAGATATTTTGACTTGTAGTATCAACCTTTTTTTTTTATTATGTTATGTTAATCACTGTACATTACATCATTCGTTTTTGATGTAGTGTCCCATGATTCATTGTTGGCGTATAACACCCGGTGCTCCATGCAGAACGTGCCCTCTTTAATACCCATCACCAGGCTAACCCATCCTCCCATCCCCCCCCGTCTAGAACCCCCAGTTTGTTTCTCAGAGTCCATCGTCTCTCATGGTTCGTCTCCCCCTCTGATTTCCCCCCTTCATTCTTCCCCTCCTGCTATCATCTTTTTTTTTTTTATTATGTTATGTTAATCACCATACATTACATCATTAATTTTTGATGTAGTGTTCCATGATTCATTGTTGGCGTGTAACACCCAGTGCTCCATTCAATACGTGCCCTCCTCAATACCCATCACCAGGCTAACCCATCCCCCCACCCCCCTCCCCTCTCGAACCCTCAGTTTATTTCTCAGAGTCCATCGTCTCTCATGGTTCGTCTCCCCCTCTGATTTCCCCCCCTTCATTCTTCCCCTCCTGCTATCTTCTTCTTTTTTTTTTTATTATGTTATGTTAATCACTGTACATTACATCATTAGTTTTAGATGTAGTGTTCCATGATTCATTGTTTGTGCATAACACCCAGTGCTCCATGCAGAACGTGCCCTTTTTAATACCCATCACCAGGCTAACCCATCCTCCCACCCCCTTCCCCTCTAGAACCCTCAGTTTGTTTCTCGGAGTCCATAGTCTCTCCTGGGTATCAACCGTCTTTTAATCCCTGCTATATAGCCACCCATGAGTGAGATATTCATCACCAGGGGACTGCAAGATGCAGGAGGTAAGTGGTTAGGGAGTATACAGAGGTTAATTTCACTGCAGCTGATTTGAACAGTAAATGACATTCAATATGGCGTTGACCCCTGAGCAGGTGCCACCACCATTCCTCTCAATGTGAAACATACTGGAAAAGTAGGGCAAGTTTATTTTTGGTTGGGTTGCCAGCTGAAGAAACAGGGAGGTTGCTGTTACTTTAATAGGCATAATTTTATCAATAAAAGACCTTCATAGCTCAGGGGACCACTGTCTTTCTTGCCTCTGGCTTTAAGAAAGCAGTACGTGTACTTTCAAGAGTCTCTGTTACTAAAAGATGCTTGTTTTCACTGCAATTGTATGAGACCTGAACTACCTGAAAGCGATGCCAAGGGCTATTGACACCAGTAGTAATGGCCTCTGTCTCTTATTTCAACTGAGTCAGGAGATTGATGTCTTCCTAGGAAACATGTTTTTATTGTTCATTTGTTTTCTGAATTCATTAATCAGTTCTAGATTTTTGTGTGTGTGTGGAATCTTTAGGGTTTTCTATATATTCATTATGATGTTATCTGCAAATAGTGACAGTTTTACTACTTCTTCACCAATATAAATGCCTTATTTCTTTTTTTTTTTGTCTGATTGCTGCAGCTAGGACTTCCTGTACTATGTTGAATAAAAGTGATGAGAGTGGATATCCTTGTTTTGCTCCTGATCTTAGAGGAAAAGTTCTGTTTTCACCATTGAGTATGATGTTAGCTGTGGGTTTTTTTGTATATGGCCTTCATTATGTTGAGGTGTGTTCCCTCCAAGCCTACTTGTTGAGACTTTTTATCATAAATGACTGTTGTATACATGTGCTTTACTAATTGGTGAGTACACATTTTTCTTACTGAAGTATAATTCACATACAGTGTTATTAGTTTCAGATGTACAACATGATGATTCAATATCTCTACACATTACTCAGTGCTCATCCAGTGAAGTCATCATCTGTCTCCAAATACCATTTTATAATCTTACTGACTATATTCCCTATGCTGTACTTTTCATGTCCATGAAATTTTATTTATCTTATTTTTTATAATAATAAAGAATAAATTAATAATAATAAATAAATAATAAAATAAAATAAAATTTTATTTTATTTTTTAACTGGAAGTTTGTACCTCTTAGGCCCCTTTATTTCACCCATCTCCCCACCTACTTCCCCTCTGGCAACCACCTGTTCAATCTCTGTATTTAAGAGGCTTTTGTTTGTTGTTTTTTTTTATTGTTCATTTGTTTTCTTAAATTCTACATAGGACTGAAATCGTGTGGTTTCTGACTTATTTCAGTTAGCATTGTACTTTCTAGGTCCATCCATGTTGTTGCAAATGGCAAGATTTCATTCTTTTTAATGGCTGAGTAATATTCCATTGTGTGTATATATGTATGTATGTATACGCACACACGTACACATACATACATATATATATATATACCCCATCTTCTTTATCCATTCATTTATCAATGCACACTCGGGTTGCTTTCATATCTTGGCTATTGTTAATAATGCTATAATAAACATAGTGCATATATCTTTTCAAATTAGAGTTTTTGTTTTCTTTGGGTAAGTATCCAGTAGAGGAATTACTGGATCATATAGTACTTTTATTTTTAAATTTTTGAGCAAGCTCCATACTGTTTTCCACAGTGGCTGTACCAATTTGGATTTCCACTAATAGTGTACAAGGATTCCTTTTTTTCCTCCAAATCCTCGCCAATACTTGTTATTTCTTGTCTTTTTGATTCCAGTCATTTTGACAAGTGTGAGGTAATACCTCATTGTAGCTTTGATTTGCATTTCTCTGATGATTAGTGATGTTAAGCATCTTTTCACGTGGCTGTTGGCCATCTGTACATCTTCTTTGGGAAAAGTGTCTATTCAAGTCCTCTGCTCATTTTTCAATTGGATTTGTGTGTGTTGTGTAAATTCCTTACATATTTTGGATATTAACCCCTTATCAGATATATCACTTGCAAGTATCTTCTCCCATTCAGTAGGTTGCCTCTTTGTTTTGTTGATGGTTTCTTTCACTGTGTAAAAGCTTTTTATTTTGGTGTAGTCCCAGTAGTTTATTTTTGCTTTTGTTTCCTTTGCCTCAGGAGACATATCTAGAATGTTTCTATGGCCAATCTCAAAGAGATTACTGCCTATGTTTTCTTTTAGGAGTTTTATAGTTTCAGGTCTCATATTTAGGTCTTTAATCCATTTTGTGTTTATTTTTGTGTGTGGTGTAAGAAAGTGGTCTAGTCTCACTCTTTTGCACGTAGCTGTCCAGTTTCTCCAGCACAATTTGTTGAAGAGATGGTCCTGTCCCCATTGTATATTCTTGCCTCCTTTGTCATAAATTGACATATAAGCATGGCTTTATTTCTGGGCTCTCTATTCTGTTCCATGGATCTATGTGTCTATTTTTGTGCCAGTTTGATATTGTTTTGATTACTACAGCTTGGTAGCATATCTTAAAATATGGAATTGTGATAACCCCAGCTTTGTTCTGTTTTCAAAAAAAAAGATTTTATTTATTTGAGAGAGAGAGAGACAGAGGTGGCGAGAGAGAACATGAGCTGGGGAGGAGGGGCAAAGGGAGAGGGAGAAGCAGACTCCCCACTGAGCAGGGAGTCAGATGTGGGCTTAATTCCAGGACCCCCGGGATCATGACCTGAGCCGAAGGCAAATGCTTAACTGAATGAGCCACCCAGGTGCCCCTAGTTTTGTTCTTCTTTCTCAAGAAAGGCTATTTGGAGTTTTTTTGTGGTTCCACACAAATTTTAGTATTATTTGTTCTAGTTCTGTGAAAAATGCTTGGCATTTTGATAGGGATTGCATTAAATCCAAAGATTGCTTTGAGTAGTATGGACATTTTAACAATATTGGTTCTTCCAGTCCATGAGCATGGAATATCTTTCCATTTGTGCCATCTTCAATTTCTTTCATCAGTGTTTTACAGTTTTCAGAGTACAGGTCTTTCATTTCCTTAGGTGCAGTTGTAAATGGAATTGTTTTCCTAATTTCTTTCTGCTACTTCATTATTAATGTATAGAAACGCAACGGATTTCTGTGTATTAATTTTGTTTCCTGTGACTTTACTGAATTCATTAATCAGTTCTAGATTTTTGTGTGTGTGTGGAATCTTTAGGGTTTTCTATATATTCATTATGATGTTATCTGTAAATAGTGACAGTTTTACTACTTCTTCACCAATATAAATGCCTTATTTCTTTTTTTTTTTGTCTGATTGCTGCAGCTAGGACTTCCTGTACTATGTTGAATAAAAGTGATGAGAGTGGATATCCTTGTTTTGCTCCTGATCTTAGAGGAAAAGTTCTGTTTTCACCATTGAGTATGATGTTGGCTGTGGGTTTTTTTGTATATGGCCTTCATTATGTTGAGGTGTGTTCCCTCCAAGCCTACTTGTTGAGACTTTTTATCATAAATGACTGTCGTACTTTATCAAATGCTTTTCCTACATCTGTGAGATGATCATGTGATTTTTTTCCTTTCTCTTGTTAATGTGATGTATCATGTTGATTGATTTGTGAATACTGAACCACTCCAGCATCCCTGGAATAAATCCCACATGACTGTGGTGAATATTTTTTTTAATGTATTATTGAGTTCAGTTTGCTAATATTTTGTTGAAGGTTTTTGCATCTATGTTCATCAGAGATAGGAGCCTGTAGTTTTCTTTTTTTGTGGTGTCTTTGTCTGGTTTTGGTATCAGAGTAATGCTGGTCTCATAGAATGAATTTAGAAGCTTTCCTTTCTCAACTATTTTTTGGAATAGTTTGAGAATAGTATTAACTCTTCTTTAAAAGTTTGGTAGAATTCACACCCTGAAGCCATCTGGTCCTGGACTTATGTTTGGCAGGAGTTAGATTACTGATTTAATTTCATTGCCAATAATTGGTCTGTTCAAATTTTCTCTCTCTTCCTAATTCAGTTTTAGAAGCTTATATGTTTCTAGGAAAGTATCCATTTCTTCTAGGTTGTCCAATTTGTTGGCATATAATTTTTCATAATATTCTCTTAAAATCCTTTGTATTTCTGTGGTATTGGTTATTATTCCTCCGCCTTCATTTCTGACTATTTATTGGAGTCTTCTCTCTTTTTGTCTTGATGAGTCTGGCTAAGGGTTTACCAATTTTGTTTATCTTTTCAAAGAACCAGCTCTTGGTTTTATTGATCTTTTCTATTGCTTTTTTAGTCTCTATTTCATTTATTTCTGCTCTAATCTTTACTATTTCCTTCCTTCTATTGGCTTTGGGCTTTGTTGTTCTTTTTATAGCTCCTTTAGGTGTAAGGTTAGGTTGCTTGAGATTTTTCTTGTTTTTTTTTGAGATAGGCCTGGCCTCAATTGCTATAAACTTACCTCTTAGAACTGCTTTTGCTGCATGGTGATTACAAATTTTAATTTGTATCCCTCTCCTGCTCCTCTATACACCCATGTATATTTTTCTGTATTTCTGTCTTCTCATGTATTTCTGTTGTTCTGTCCCCTCTCATCACATAATCTATTCTTTATCTATGCTATGATAAATTCAAGCATTTCTATATCACATTCCTTCTACATCATATATTTATTTTTTCTTTTTCTTTCTCCTTAGACTATTATGTACAATAGTCCTGTTTGCTCCTTTTAACTTGGTTGCTATAAGGAAGCATTTTAGGTCTTTCTTAATAACTAATGATACGCTATTTTATTTTTTAAAATATTTTATTTATTTATTTATTTATGAGCGAGAGAGAGGGAGAGAGAGAGAGAGAGAGAGCAGGCATGCACACAGAGGGGCGGAGTGGGAGGGAAAGGGGAAAGGGAGAGAATCCCAAGCAGATTCTGCCCTGGGCTCAGAGCCTGACTTGGAGCTCAATCTCATGACCCTGAGATCATGACCTGAGCAGAAACTAAAAGTCAGGTGCTTAACCAACTAAGCCACCCAGGTGCCCCTAAAGATACGCTATTTTAAAGTACAGCTCCTAGAGAAAAGGTAATATTCCCTCTCTCAGTGCGTGTCTAAAAACCTGGGATAGAAACTCAGGAAGAAATAGCACCAAAAACAAACAAACCATTCAGTGGTGAAGAAACCTGGCTAGCCTACAGAGTGAATCATCACAAAAAAATAAAATGAATGCATTTTTCTAAAATGGAGAGTCCTCAAGTAGCCTTGAAATAAAGATATTTGTTGGGTGAGCACCTATTTCTACATCAAGACCCAGCTCAACATCACTTCTTTGATGAAAGTTTCCCTGAACCCACCACAGTCAGTTTCCATTTCCCTCTTTGCGCCACCACCATACTGCATACATAGTCAACAATATTAACTACAGTGTTATGCAATGACTTACGTACCTGTCTCTGCGATTCAACTGTGAGTTTCTTCAGGAGTGAAACTAGCTGTCCGTCCATCCCCAGCAACTAAGACAGTTGCCAACACAGGGCTATATTCTCAGAAATGTTGGCTGAATGAACTACATTAAATGATTTCTGGAATTAATGTAACCCACTGATTAATCTAAGTACATAAACTGGTATTTGGGGTATGTTTTTTGCAGCATGTTTATTTATATTCAAATGAACTGAGTCAACATGTTCAATACTTACAACAACTTTAACATGTTTGGATAGATCTCTAGAACTTCTCTGTAGGAAATCAGAAAAAGCCGCCTATACCACAAAGAAATAAAGGAGAAAAACCAAACTTAATCACATGGTTATGCCAAATCCTTGCTTCCATATTATAAATAGTTCCTAATGCTTCTAAATTATTGAAAATATAAAGAAGTTCTTTTCTTGCTAAATGCAAAGCCAAATGCAGTGGCTGTCAAGCTGAAAACTCTCTTTGTTTTCAAACTATAACCTATAATAAAATTTAAGAACACAGTAGAAAAGTTAAAAAGTAGGTAATTCCAAGGGTCAGTTGGAAGATTTATTCTGATGACCTTTCCTGACCTCCTACTTGACCATTGGGTGCTGATATCATCTTTAACTTGCCACTAAGAATGTCTTGCTTCACCCTCTCCCCTTTTATTTCAATTCTCTCTATCCGGTGGTCTAAATTTAAACTACATTTTTTTAAAATCAGTAATTTGGAGGCCTTTCCACACACCTCCCCCCCTTTCTGGCCATTCATCCCCAGGGATGTCCCTGAGGAGAAGGAAAAAAGACGTCCTTTATTCACATATATGCTTCCACGAGAAACTGCCCAGCCTCTGCCAATTTCTCCTCCAAACACTGATGCATATGTACTCCTGTACAAACCACATTCTTACCCAAGACTTTCCATACATCTTTCGGTCTGCCTAACTCCCCCATTCTCTAGACTGCCTTTGATGTTTCTCTTATCGCTCCTTGAATATCATCCCCTCCATATGATAGGAAGCCTTCAAGCTTTGAAGTTCAAAGACGATGAACACCAGCTCCCTTTCTACCAACTTAAATACATCTTAATTGTAAACCAAGGCATTAAACTGTAATCATACATAGAAATATTTAGAAACATCTGAGATGGATAATGATTTTTCATATAGTTAGTATCCTTATTACCAATGAGTAATTAGTATTTAATTAGTATTAAATAATACATAATTATAAAATAGAAGATATACTTACTCCTGCATAGAACATTTTATTTCGAAAACGACTGTTGAATTTCTCTGGATTTGCTTCTGTGAAAGGAAACAGGTAGTTTTGTTATGGAGACCTCATTAAAGGTAGTGACTTCCATTAACACTCTTCTTCTTCCCCCTCCCTCCCCACCCCACAGATCCAATAGAGTCAACAGCCTTATTATCATCTTTCCCTTAGTTACAGGCCAGTTGGTATAGTTGTCCAGGGCTACAAAAGTGTAGCCCCAAAATGGCAGCATCAGCATCAACTGGAAGTTTGTTAGAAATGCAAATTATTAGCTCTATTCCAGACCTGCTGAATTATAATGTTTAGGGGGTGGTGTCTAGGAATCATGATTTAACAAGCTCTCCAGGTGCTTAACATTAAAAGTTGAGACACTCTGGACTCTATTCAGAATAGAGGGCTGGCAGGGATCCAAGGCAAGGGTGACAGGACAAAGGAGGGTGATGAGGGGTGATTATCTGCTTTGACCTCCATCGGGCACATCTTCTATAAACTATGTGTGCAGCTTCCAAATGTAATTAAATACTGGAAATTTGGATCAAAATTAATAGAGAATTTGCTTTCACATTTTACCAAACCTCCTAACTACTATCTGTGCTTTTGTTTGTAACAGGCCTTGAAAAATTGATTTACTGGAGATACATAAATATACATATATGCAGGGGAACTGCTAAATGGATTCAGGGCATATGACAGCAAAGGCTGTGGGCGAAAAATGGTTTAATTTTGAGTATGGTCCTGTTTGTTACATAGGTTGAAGACCACAAAAAAGGTTAAACAAGAATCTGCATCAGAGAATGTTCACACAAATATAAGGGATTATAAAATCCCTAAGTGAAAAATTACTTCCTTACATTCTTCCTAATAGAATTCCAAGACATTCCAATGGGACCCACGGTCAATGTTTTGCCTTCTGCTATTTTATCCCATATGCTCATTAATCCCTTCTTAGGGCAAGGTCTCTCCTCAAATTGTTTCTCAACAGACAGCTGGCTGACTAGCTGAAACTGTTCAAGTCCTGGCCCTGTGTTTGAACGGCAAATCTCAACAATTGTCTAGATGAAGAAAAGTAGCACAGAGCTCCCTCACTAAGATGCCATAGAGTAAGAGCTGCACAATCTCAAGGAATAATCCTAGACCTAGGATCGTTAGATTATTTTCATGATTATTAGAATATAATATTAGCACATAACATGGAAACTGAGTGAAAGCTTGCAAACTTAAAAAAAAAAGTCGTATGTTGTAATTTGACTCTTGAGAGTTTTTACATATTTAAGTTTCTGTATCTCATACCTCTCCTTAAACATTCCCTCTATTCTATTGAATTAAGTACTCTGAACCCTAGAAACAAAATCAAACAAAAGTTAAAGGTTAATTTACAGGTTAGACTAAACAAAAAAAAGTGATAAAAGTGGTACTTAGTGCTCTGTCTCCCTGGTCCCCATTTGTGGACCCAGAATTCACCATTTTTACAGTATGGGCCTTTAGGATAAATTTGGCTGCTAAGTAACATTGTTTGTTTGTTTGTTTGTTTGTTTGTTTGTTTTTTAACCTTTCTTAACTCAAATTTGGCTGGGTACCATTTTCAGTTGCATTAACTCTTGCTTTATGGAACCAGAGGCAAAATTAGAATTTCTGTTGCCATGCAATTTATCATGGGTACATAATCCCTAATTTTAAAAGGAATGAAAGAAAGAAGGTCAGAGCTGGCTATCAAGCAAGTTATAATAAGAAAATGGAAAATGGCACCCACAGTTCTGGCATAGAACTTGTTCAGGGCACTAACATCTGCAGCTATCAAGTGAATCATACATCAACTATTAACATGTACTTTTTAGAACAGTACTTTATGGTTTGGAAAAGGTTCACATTCTTAAGGCGTTTTCCTATGAGCCTAAGCTTTGTTTTTTTGTTTTTTTTTCCCCTTTAAAGAAATAGTTTTCTCCCAAGAGATCAAAAATGTTTTGTAAGAACCAAAAGAGTAGAATAAAATTAATAAATAAACTGAGTTTTTGGTGATTTCACTGACACAGCTGATGAAAACAGTCACTTCAGATGTAATTTAACTAGATAAAATTCAATTAATATGTAAAACTAAACAAGTTAAGACACTAGCATTTAGAGAGGTGTCAGAAAGATAATGAGGTAGGAAAAGAGTCACACATATTCCTTAGCCCTGAAAATAGAAAAGATGGAGGTAAATTCTGTTATCTCTGCTGACAGTATAATGGTATTATACTCCTGACTCCCTGATTGAGCCTGTCTTGATGATTAAACACTTTTTCCATTTTAATATCTACCCTACTCCAAAAAGCCTCAGAAACAAAGGTTGGCTGGAGCTGAGAGAGATGTTGGGTAGTGTTAGAGCTTCCCTACTCCCTGCAGATGCCAGTCCCTAAGAAAGCAAGGGACAGTCTGCAAATAACAGTACTTAATCATTCCTTATTGGCTTTTAACGTGTTGAGTGGCTGAATATGTCTATGTGTATGTATAAGAACTGACAGGTCTTTGAGAAGGTCCAAGGAACGTGGTCCCCAACTATATCCAGAAAAGGGGGCTCACAGAATTGGGAAAGGACAGTAAGAAAGTTTAAGCATTCTTGTTCCTTAAGGAAGTTTTATCTGTTAATTGGTATGAGGTCAACTATGAAAGGCCATTCTCAAGAAATGCCAATAATACTCAAATTATCCCAAGATCCCAATAGTGGAAGCATCCATGACTTACTGCTACAGTTCCTCCATTGCCCATCTTCCTCTTCCACAAAGACAGGGTATAACCAAGTGAGATCTAAATGCTCACTGTGTATGTCTAGGCCATTAGCCTATTTATAATCTGATTGGACACCAACATTAATTGTATTTGTTTTCTATTCCTGAAAACGTGGCAGCTTAAAACATCCATTTGTTTTCTTATTCCCTAGGCCAGAATCTGGACTGGGCTCTCCTGAGTCCTCTACTTAGGGTCTTCCAAGGCCAAAATCAAGGTGTCAGCCTGCAGGTCTTCTCTGGGGGCTCTAAAAAGGATTCACTTTCACAGGTGCCTGGGTGGCTCAGTTGGTTAAGCTTCCAACTCTTGATTTCCTCTCAGGGTGTGATTTCAGGGTCGTGAGATCAAGCCCTGTAATGGGCTCCACACTCAGTGGGGTCTGCTTGAGATTCTCTCTCTTCCCCTCTTCCTCTGCCCTCTCCACTTGCACATGCTCTCTAAATAAATAAATAAATAAATAAATAAATAAATAAATAAATAAATAAATAAAATCTTTAAAAAAAAGGATTCACTTCAAAGTTTATTCAGATAGTTGGCAAAACCTATTTCCTTGCAATTGGAGAAGTGAAGTTCTTTTTCCTTGCTGGCTGTTGGCGACGGTTCATTCTCAACTTCTAGAGCCCTCCTGGAGTCCTTGGCTTGGGATCCCCTCCACTGTCAAAGCCAGCAGGGGCACATCAAATGTTTTTCACACTTCAAATCTATCTGACTCCCCTTCTGCCACATCTCTTTGACTTCCTATTTAACTTTCCACTTAAGCTTTGAAGGGCTCATGGTATCACATTGGGTCCACTCAGATAACCCAGAATTATCTTCCTGTATAAGGTCAGCTAATTACTGACCTCAATAACACTAAAAAAGTCTTTTTGCCATGTAAAATAACCTGACCAACAAGAATGATACCAATAGCAAAGGTCATAAAGGCCAAAATTCTACCTACCACTGCCCACCATCTGACCTCTATGATTCACATCTTTCCCATATGAAAAACATTCATTCCTTCCAAGGTCCCCAAAGGTCTCATCCCCATTAGGGCATCAACTCAAAACCCAAAAATCTCACCTAAATCTTATTAACTCAAACTTCCCAAATCTCATCATCTAAATCACCTAAGTGATTTGGCTCTAGATATAATCCAGTTATGGCGATAATAAGGTTCTGGATAACTTCCATTCCATTGACTTACTATATTAATCCTATTTTTATGTACAACACAATAACATCTGTGCCATCAGAATAGGATCCTAAACTCTACTTTTGTCTGTAATTGGTCTGGCATATTAGAGGAGATATTCATAAATACAAGTTCAAGTCTATGTTTATAAAAATCAATAAGCAATTTGAACTGCACAAAACTCACACTACATTCCTCTGCATTAGGTATGTACCTAATCTTAAGACTTCAGTTATATATACATAAACAATCCCAAAATCTATGCCTACACTAACAATGCCACCTTCAATTCAAATTGTATATATCCAAAAAAGTCTTGTCTTCCAACATCATCTCCCATTAAGGACAAGTAGTTTTACCAACATTATCCATTTTTCTAACACCGAAACTCTTTCATTATGTATTAATTGGTCATCCCATCTTTATCACAAGCTCATTTGTCCCTCTATACTTTGCTGTCTGAAATGCCCTCACCCATTTTACTTCTTTTCTACATATTTCACACTCCTCCTTTATCTCTCAGCTCCCTCTTACCCTTTCTGGAAAATTTCCCCTGATAAGATTTTCCCTGCCAAATTCCTGTATTATTTACTGCCTATACAACTAATCTTATCCCTACTATATATTCCTTTCTACTGTTACCTTTTACATTATATATGGGGCCTATCCTCTGATTACAGTCTCCATTACTGTAACTAACACTTATTGAGATAGCCATGGACTCGGCAAAGGGAATATAAGAAGATATGGTCTTTTGCCTGCATGAGTTTAGAGTGGAAGAGATAAATTTGAAAATGAAAGTATAACATCCTTTTGTATATGCCTATATCAGATGAAGTGAGAGTCACACATAAAGGGAATGATCAAAAGAGTTCCAGAGGCAAGATTCAACACTTGAATCTTGAATGAAGGGTAGGTGCCATGCAGAGGTTCAAAATGGAAAAAAAAGGTTATAGACAGAGAACCTTGGACAGTGAGAGTTTCTCAAATGTTTGAGTCTCAGTACCTAGATCTAAGACTGAGAGTGTGTGCTTTGCAGTGAGGGTGATGATGAAATTTAGCAAGCCATTGAAACGTCTTTTTAAAGAAATCTGTTCATTCTCCATATGAATCATGAAACATACATAATCCTTGAAAACATGCTGATCCGCATGTCTCTGTATATTCAGTGAAAATAGTAAATTTTAAATCAAATTTAAATACTGCCTCCTCTAGAATCATAATTGTATTTCCCTGACCTTGTAGCATAAGGTTCAACTCCTCTGAGTAAGTAATTTCAGTGAGGCAGTAAAATTTAAGCATCCAACCTCAGGCTAAATGTTTGAGGTGCTTAATATCCTTCATGTCCAAAAAAATGAGAATCTAATTCATATAGCTGGCAAAGTGAGACCTAACTTTGCCACCTGATAACCATAATCATTGTTAACATGGCTATACATTAATAGATGGGAATATTTTCAATCTACTTGCTCAAGCACTGTCATAATGCAATAATTATTAAAGTTCTGGGCAAGACTCCAGCTAAAAATTAAATCGCCAATTCTGTTACATCTCCAAATCCTGTTCCAAAAGACTGCACTTTCTGATATGCAAGGAACAGTTCAACCATGCATGGTTTAGCCACTTTAATAAGAAGAAAGCATCTCTATTTTCTAATCAAATGAACTAAACCTACTTTCTGATCAAATATAGAAACCCAAATTATTCAAATGTTTGCATTCTTTTTATACAAAGTCAATCAAAATGTTAAGACTATCTTTACTCCTCGCTTGATTTTCTACTGGTAATTCTAAAAGCATTTAAACAGTAATACCACCAATAAACTATCTCAAATGTTTTTAATTGTCCCCTCTATTTGATGGGCTATTTCACATCTATGCCAAAAATTGCTTCTGCAATTACATTTTTAAAGATTCTGCCTTAGTGAGATTTGTATTTATTACCCACTTCATATAGATAGATTAGAATAATTCCCAAGTACATACACACACACACACACACACATCTTTTATTAATACTTAATAGGTTATTCTATACAAGCTCATTTTTTTATAATGGCTCTCATGAGGCTTTTTTTAAAATGGCTCTCATGAGGTCACCCTCCAAGTATTTCATGGCAAATGATACAAGTTTTGTCATGATGTCTCAAACTGTGAGTGTCTGCATTTGAGAGCAGTTTGAAGTGTTCTTGGCTTGAGAATAGCCACTTAATACCAAAAGAAATAAGTCTGCCCCTGTTGAAAATGTAGCCATACTATCTTGCTTTTCCTTTTGCAGGTGAGCTTGAGATTTCTTGATTATCCAGGTAAAAATATGGGGAAAATCCAAATAAACAGAAAATAGCAAAAGCAAAAAAAGAAAATTAGCTTGTGTAATTATACTTTTCATCATAAATTAATGCAAAGTAAATAGATTAACAGGTACTAAGAAGTCCACACCTCTGATATAGGCATATCAACCAAATCTGTTTCCAACATTTTGTAGATATTTATCTCTATACCATCTTCATGAATATTGCAGCTATTAGTCTCAGTCAACATCAGTTTTCTCTTATCAGCTCTTCAGTGGCTGGTTTTCCTCAAGGGCTCTAGCTTACCTGCAGGTCAAATGTTTGCAATTCCATTTCATGCTGCTTGAAAGCACTTACACTAAGCCTCAGAAATAATCTATATAAGACTAATGCTTTGCATCTTTTAACCAATTGTTTTATAATCACACATATATTATACTATATATATATATATATATATATATATATATACACACCACAGTTTGCATATTCCTTTTCAAATGAAATAGTCCCACAACTTGTAAAAAAAAAGTCACTTTCCTTCAAGAATTCTCTTCTAAGCCTGGTCTTTCCTCCTTGATGTCTCTCTCTGTTCCCTTCACTCTGAGACACGAAAGTTTCATCATAGTACAAGGAAATGTATCATTAGGAGATTGTCAGATTAATTAGACAAAATATTAGGCTCCCTTAAATGAGCTCACTGTCTGCCACTTACTCATTTAGGCCCTTTTCATGCCAGGATGTCTATTTTGGAAGATGCATGCATTGGTGATAATTATAAGTATTGTTAAGAAACTGAAGGATTTTATTAGGAAGCCCAGAGCCAGAGTCTCCTGAAGAATATGAGGGAAAAAAATGGGTTAAGAAATGAGGAAAGTAATCTCCATTTACTTCCCCAAATCAAGTATCCTAAAATATAGGGAGACCAACAGACTATAAATGTGGGCTCTAAAGTAGGACTCCCTGAATATCTACCTCCAAGAGCTGTCCATGGCAGGGAAATGGGAGGGTGGTGGTGTTTCTGATCTGGGTATTTGATATTTGTGGTTCTGTTATCAACCAACCTTTCAGAGGGAAAAGTCAAACTATGGCTTTCTCTTCGATCAGCATTGCTTTTATTTTATTTTATTTTATTTTATTATTTAATTTAAATTCAATTAGCCAACATACCATTTACATCGACATGGATGGAGGATGGAGGGTATTACGCTGAGTACTGCTTTTATTTGACACAGCATTTGACCCTCAAAGCCTTATGAAAGCAGGAAGGCAAAGCCTACCAAAATTGCTGATCTCAGTAAGAGAATTACAGGTTTGGACTTCACTTATATTTTTTATTCTAACACCCTTAATCCTACTACTCCACTCTTGACCTTTAGTGCATAGAAGTGTTATCAGAATTTCCTCTGTGTTATTACTAGAATCTGGACATTTGAATTCTAACTTTTAGGTCTCTGTACTTCAAATTCCAGGAGTTAAAACCACTGATGCTCTTGAAGAATCTGGAGGAAAAGAAGTAAAATAATCCTCTCATGTATGGACTTTTATCTCACAACACACTCACTAACCTACTGCCTGGCATGGTTTTGGTTATATATTAACATTCACAAGAGACTAGGTACAGAAGTAGATACAGGCAAAGACACAGATGTATATAGTTACATTAATAAGAGATTTTGAGAGATGAAGACACACCAAGTGAGTGAGCTTGAGCACAGAAGATTGGGGATTCAAAACATAAGCCCAGATCCTAAACTTTCTCAGCTCTGAATGTCGTAAGAAATGTGATGAAGTATATAACTGCGTGCCATTATTTCATCTTATTTCTCTTTCAAAAATGGTTTTGTTCCCCAATCTTGCCACCATCTCTTTTGGCCCTTGACATGACCACTGGCTCTCATTCACCCCTCTAGCTTGTCCGATGGGCATTCCCAGCACCTCCACCCCCAATCCAATCACCACCCTTTCTTTCCACCTAAACCACGGATCAGCTCCCCTACTGTTCTAAGATGACTGCTGTCTCTTTTCTGCACCCAGGGAGGACTTGTATATTTTTGCTGCCAGATTTCAATGGCCCTGGTTTATAAAGTGTTGGACTTCAACAATCGGTGGTTCAAGAAGCTGTGAATATCTTAATGACTCAAATGAAAGAAACTTTATCAGTTCCTAGTAGTTCACTAACCTCAAAGTTTCTAGTCAAACTTAAAAATTAGCAGTCTGAGACCTGGAACATCCATCTGATGTCATCCTTTACATCTCTGAGACCCTAAACAACTAGGTCTCAGGGTCCTATCTGTAACAAGTTCCTATCTTGTCTAGCTCCCAGGGTCATCACGAAAGTTAAAATGAACAACACTGATGCACACTGTCAATACTTAAGTGATATGCAAACAGAAGGGAACATGCAAAACACCTGCTGGAAACTTCCTCCCTGGGAGATGGGAATGGGACGTTGTCCTCACCTCTGGATTCATGGAACTCCAGTGTGACGTGGGCATCAAATCCAAGGCTGAAGTAATTATTGAAAACATTCAGAGGAAGCTGCAATGAGGAACAAAGTAGAGGTGAAGTGGTGCGTAACCAGGCAGAAAGAGTAAAATGAAGCCTAACACCAGAAACCTTCTCTCGGGCAGTCCCTGGGAAAGAGATAAGTCACAACCCAAGGCAGAAGGTGTTTGCAGAGAAGGAACAGGGGATTTTTGAATTCATTAGTTAAAGCTCAAATCAAATAACACTCCCAAGAATTTTAAGTAGTATAGGAAACAAGTGATGCAAATACAAATTATTAAATGGGAAGTATTCTTGTGGATATTAAAAAGAGAGCCCAATTAAGCTGAGGGAAGCACATGCCCAAAAGTTACAAAGAATGACTCACTAAGCAAACTTAGAAAGTCAATTCAAATGGAAAGATCATGTGTAAGCTAATCAGTGAATATACCTTTTGAGAATTTGTGTCCAGAATATTAATATTGCAATTTCAAATGAGTAATATTTAATATGTTTACCCTTCCATTTTTTAAAATATATTTTTGACATAAGTCATAAGCAATAGGGCAGAGGGAAATATTCAGCTACCCCTGATCTACAGGGAAAAAAAAATATATGTGTATATACATATTTGTCAGTATTACTCAAATTTTGATTTAGTCTATGAGACCTTGTATCTTTAATATGACTGTGAAATATGTAGACACAGATGTGGGTACACACACAAGCCTTCCTAGAGTCCTCTGGGTCCCTGGCTGTTACCACCGCAAGCTTAGTAAAGGAGAGGACTATGCAACCTAAAATCCTTCATCAGAACTGCAAAATTCATGTGCTTTTAAGGCTTCAATGTTAGAACAATGAGAAAAGCACATGGAAAATGCTAGAAAGGAAATTGTGGCTCTTCCATTTTCCCTTCTGCAACTCAGAGTGGAAGGTAAATGTTAAACTAAATAGAGAAGCAATTTCATCTCAGCTTGGATAATGTTTCCAGATAATTATCAGACTTAGCCTCCAGATAGAAATCTACTTCTCTTCTGTTAGAAGTGTTTAACCCTCAAGACCTCAAAAGTAGGTTTATTACAGGGTTTCATATGCACCTTGACTAGTAAGATTTTGTTTGACTAGAGTGAGGACCTCATCCCATTAAGAGATAAATGAAATGAGAGGGAGAGTAACAGAGAGATGTTAATACAGAAGAAAAGAAAACGGATGGCCTTGGTTTCCAATGGAAATAAAGAATGAACCCTCCATGGAGGCCCTGAGTCAGAGCTTATCATAAATTCGGAGGTCAAATCAGCCCCCTTTAGAAATGTTTACAACTGACTGGAGAACAGACGAGAAACTAAACACAGAACAATGCCAAAATCATGTCTCATTCTCCTGGCTTCATATTTGAGAATGTCCAGTTCTTGCACTTTAACAAAATACCAAGCCTTAGTAATGACAGCAAGGGTTGGCGATCTTGCCAAAAGCACAGATATGTTCATCCCTACCATTTATGTTTTCTTGGCTACAAATCTAACTCATGTCTTAGCATTCACCGATAGCTTTAGGAGAACATCTGGTCACCATCCCCTAAATAATATCACAATTTAGTCTGTTACTAAGTTCTTATTCATATTTTCCAGGAAAAATTGCCCAATTTCCTACACATCTCCTCAAAAGCCCATTTTTCAAAGCCCTTTAATTATCTGGATTAATGTTCCCTGGCTGTACCAAGGAGTCTTTCCATTTCTTAAGCTGTTGGGAAGAGATTTAAATAGCGATTTCTACTGAGGGCCTAAGCATTCTAAGTTTGGTGGGGAAAGGACCTTAAAATTTCCATACGGTATAATTCTTTTCACTTTGACTATATCCTACCCAGTTTCTGCAGGTCGAACACATCAGAAAGAAGTATATCCCACGGTAATACCTGTGGTTTCAAACAACACTATGACATTATAAACGCAAATCTACTGAGCAGTCATGATAGCTAACAGAAACCTTGTGATTTCTGGATTATTGTTTAGGGGAAAAAATGTGAAGACAAGATAAAACATGTTTTAACCTATTTTAGCCAAATAATAAACTTGAGTGTTTATCATAATTGGTCAGGATCATGGTGCTAATGAATAACTGGTTTTGGTTTGGTTTAATAGGATATCTGGTTCTATTTATTTTAAAGTGAAAATGCCCATGACAATGTTGGCTCAATCAATGGCATAATCCAATAAAGCAGGGATGCTATTTATTATTTTTTTAAAGATTTTATTTATTTATTTGACAGAGAGAGACACAGCGAGAGAGGGAACACAAGCAGGGGGAGTGGGAGAGGGAGAAGCAGGCTTCCCACTGAGCAGGGAGCCTGATGTGGGGCTCGATCCCAGGACTCTGGGATCATGACCCGAGCTGAAAGCAGACGCTCAACGACTGAGCCACCCAGGCACCCGGGGATGCCATTTAAAGTACGGATCCAGGGCCTTAACCCTGCATTTACGTGATCAGAATCAATGGGGACTGGGCCCCGTAATCTGCACGTGAATGCTCTTATGCATGCAAAACTTTGAAAACACTATCACAGAAGAAAAGTGGAAAGTAATATGCAGGAAATGGCTACTTGGCAACCTGTCAGATTTATCTGAAATTGAGACCAGAACTTAGAACCAAATATTCTGCTGAGGCTCTGCACTAATGTATGCATGTCTCTTGATATGTCTTGGGTGCAAATGAAAGCTCAATCACTGAAGGAAAAATACTAAGTCAAAATATTTATTTAGACATCTTCAAGTCCCAACCCAGTGATGAAACTGACTTAGTTAACACTTCCTACACCTAAGAGATATTTAGTAGGAGACTACAAATCTCAGGAGGTTATCTTTCTATCGAAAGACCATATGCCTAATGCTTCAGAACATCTGTAGTTTTCACCTTCTCATGGGTTATGAGTTTGCAATGCTTGAAAGATTAGAAAATGAATACATTCTTTCTGGTGTGGAAGTTGAGGATGGAGGACAGCTCCCTGAGCTCTGGAAGCAGGTAGGAAGTCTGTGGGGCAGAATCACGGAGTAGTGTTACGCTCGTAGGCCTAGTAGCCATGAACTCAAACATCATCCTGTGATCTCATAGGAAGCAATCAGCATGATTCTCCAGCCAGGAGTGTATTTCTTTTGGCTCAGGTACATGCTCCAGGCTTCCCTTCTGCGGAAGAAAGAACTCTCTCACCTTACAGACGCCATCTTCAAGTTCTTCTGGAGGCAAGTCTGGGTTTCTTTCCACATGGAGGTTCCAGCGATCTAGCTGTACAATTGTCCCATCTTCCACTTGGCAAAGGATCTTAGAGACAGGTTCATCAGTGTAGCCCTAAGGAATCAAAGAATATATGCATTGCTGCCTGGAGCAGTGAACAGATTAACCAAAGGCATTTCATGCAAGCAAGAGCCCTTTTGCTATAGCTCTCTATTCATTTTGCAATTAGCAAGGCTGGGCAAGTAGACCGGTTTCCTTGCAGTACTTGGAATCTAAGACAACAGTCCCAGGTATTGTGCATAGAAATACTGCTCTAACTGGTTTGAGGTGAGGAGTCATTTTTGCCAGCACCAAGAACCAACAGTCACTGGTAGGCATTTGAGGGCCATGCTGGAGGGTTGCTTCTGTCAAAATGAAAACAGGACTCCCCAGGCCTCCTACTAGAGGAATCTGAGAGATACACAGAACAAGTGTATATGGAAGAGGAGGAAGAGAATCACGGTGGCAGAGGATAGACAACTTTTTCTATTAACCTTCCATCTCATTCACCTCTCCTAACCTTGTAGAGGGACACTACTAAGGCAAGTCTGTCTGAGGCGCTGCCCTACTAGGCAACCACTTACTCCTCGAGCATGTGTTATTGGCAGCATGATTATTAAGGATAGTCAAGTCACTGATGTGGATGAGAGGAGTCAATAGTGATAAACATATTTACATGAAGCAACTAATGTATTATCATTTCCACTATGCCCACTTGAAAAAATAAAAAAGACCTGTAGGAGGTTAATTCACCCAATACCGAATGAATATCTGCTAATATCCGAAGATAATTATCACCCAAGGGAGGTTAATTCACACAAAGGTCAAATTAATATCTGCTAATAGCTGAAGATAATTTTCATGGAGCCTAGCCCAATCTCTCCTATGAATAGATAAAAAGCTGGTGGGGCTGCATATGTTAGCAAATTGTGCCTTCTTACTATCTTAACACTGTAAAAAAAAATTAATAAAACGGCTGGCTAGTGACAGGTAAACTTCTTCCACTAAGCCTGCCTAAAGTTGGCTCTCCGGTGGAAAGGATGGCTGGCTACCTGAATAACACAGCCACGATGACACCAACCAGAAAAACAAAATGCTCCAGAAAAGCCATAACTCTCCCGAAGTAAGGAGTATAATCTGAACCAGATTTGCTATTCTGGCCAGGGGCTAAGGGTCAAAATCAATTCAGGTCTTTACATGCAGACCTGAGACCAACCCACCCAACTGCCTCTCAATGGATACCTCAAGAAGCCCCTGGCCTATATACTAACCCCCATTTTTATACCACACTTTCTTCTCTAGATGATTCTAAGTTTAAACTGAAAAAGGTCCCAGATGAAATCATGATGCATGGGCACCCTGATCCTCAATTCTAACTTATTCTTTGGACAACAGTAGCATATTGCCCTTCCATTAAAACATCTGTGGGTTCGAGGCTCCTTCTGCCTGACGGCCCGGGCAGCCCCTGAGAGCAGTTCTTACCCCTCCCCAGTTGAGAGTTCGAGCCAGGTCGTTCCCAGTCCCCAGAGGAAGGACCCCGACGGGAGGCTGAGGGCTCAGCTGCAGTTCATCCAGAATAGAAAGGATCCAGCCCACCTACAGACATTTCGGGGGCCAGAAGAGATATAAGAAAGATAGGTAAGTGACAAAGACAACCTGAGAGAAGACAGCTTTAAAAAGCAAATGAAATGGTTTGATTTTTCTTTAGAACATGTATGTTTTAATCTAGTGGCCAAGAAACAGACCACTTATCTGAAGTGGTTTCGAAATGGCAAGTCTCTTCCAGGGAGAAGGACTGTTTTGTATATGCTGTCATGTAAGCAAAACTAGACCCACTCATCTGTATGTTTAACTTGAGATCTACCTTAAAATTTAGAACGGTTTAAAATTTTTAGGGAGGTTTATAACATAGGCAGTAGAGACAATCTAAGACTCAGAATCAGACTGAATTTCAATTCTGGCTCATATTGGCTACATAATCTTATTTAACCTCACTGAGATTTATTTACCTGATTTTCAAAATGGAGATAATGCCTACCTCACAAGATTGTTTACAGATTAAATTAAAATGTATATAAAGCCCTTGACATAGTCCCTGTAAGCACTCATTAAATGGTTCCCCTCCAAAGCATCATCGTAGAAATTAGTAGCATTTTCCTAAATATCCCTATACTCTTCTTAATGAAACATTAAGAAAACATAATTATGGATGGTCCTAGTACTTATTATAAGTTTAGGCAGAAAATAGATACTTATATACTAGAATCATATTCCCACTTAATCTTTTTCTAAGATAAATAATACTTTAGGTTTGGTCTTGTAACTATTTAGAATAATTACACCAAACTTGGAAATAGCAAAAAGAAACTTGCATATCCTCACAATGTCAGACTAAAGTAGTGTTTCACAGGCCTAAGAACTTTATGACTGCAGGTTAACAGGAAGATTTCTGTCCTGTGGAGATACAAATGTCGACAATAGAAGATTACATTAAAGGTTTAGTTTTATTCCCCCATAAGGCGATAAACCAATTACGTCTCAAATATAGAAAAATTACTTTGGTATAAACTACATAATCCTTTTCCTCTATTTCTCCAATAAATCGACTGTATCATCTTGCTGGCTCCTTCATTAAAGAGCTAAATAAATTTGACATGCATTTGTTCTATATTTGTATGAGTCCTATTTAAAATCTTTTCTTAAACTGTACTTTAACAGTACATTTATTGAACAGTACTACATATAAAACACAGAACTAAGCAACTGAAATAAGATGAATGAGCTGGGCTAAGATAAGTAAGGTAGATGACTGCTCTCAAGGAGCTTACAATGAACAAAGAGAGGGATATACCATCGTTTTCTAGGTGCTGATCCCTGAGCAAAGTTCTGTAATTATATTATTAAGGTTCAATACAATTCCGTAAGGTAGGAATAATTCTCCTCTCCATTTTATCAGTAAGGAAGCCAAAACTTGGAAGATTCAATGACCTCCTTAATATCCTGTCACTTACGCGGTACAGCCGGCTTTCAAAGTCACGGATGCCAAACACCACGGCTAACCTCTTAGCCACTCTGGTGCAGGGAGCCTTTAAATAAAGACCTAAATCCCAGTCTGGATATTGCCTGATCATGCTGGAGACAGCAGTATGTACTTTTGGAATCTTTGGAGTGCTGGAGAAACCTTAGAAATTGCTCAGTCAAATTCGGTTAATTTGCATATTTATTAACTTAGGTGCAAAAAGGTCATGAAATTTTCTTAAGACTAAATAACGAGGAGTGTCAGTGTCAGAATTATATCAGGTCCCTTGATTCCATTTAAAGATTCCATCCTTTCTCCACCACAGTATTTCTTCCCAGGAAATAAAACTTGCCCGTGCATCAAGAAGCCTAAAATTGCATTTACCTTCTAGAAAGGCATACCACCATGGTCACCCAATACGATGAACTAAAACTCCAGATCTAAAGAAGTATCCAGAAGTCCCTCCACCCCCTCAAACTGGAAAAGTCACTCCTACACGACTCCTTAGATTCTGACCCCACATGTTCCTAGTTTTTACAGATGGTATTAAAAAGGCTTGCTGTTGAAGTGTAGGTCAGATGCTAAAGAGTTCTGATGCCTTTGTTAGCCCTGTGCTGCTAAAAACACAAACTGCACACAGAAGTAGATCCCCTCTAATAAACTATGACAAGACATGAAAACTCAGCAACCCCAGCAATCAGGGATCACCGACTACAGATGCAAACAGCCCTGTGTAGACCCAGAGACCCTTGGAGACACAATGGAACTCAGTGGAAATGGAATCCAACATCTCCTATACAGAAGGCAGTCTCTTTAGAACTTCTCCGAGAGATGAACACTCAGTCTCCCCCTTACGAATTGTACTCACAAGTCAGTCTACTTTCTTTCAGGTGGATTTAAATTAGAAATTTTTTTCTTATGCTCAGGTGAAACAGGTCTCTCTTTTCCTGGTAAAGATAATGCCATGTGTTCACATTTCCAATACCCACTGCACTCTAGGCACAATGATAGGAAAAATAAATCTTCAGGGACCAGAAGCAAACCAAACACAAAATGGCAAGCCGATAAAGCCAGGAGTTCAGCTTCCGTCTGATAATAGGGAGTAAAAGGTCACACCTCCCAGCAGGAGGCCATGTATGAACGAGGCTCCCTGTTGGCCAGTAGGAGAGAAGCTGGAAAAGAGCATGAAGGAGCCCTGCTCAAGGCCATAGCCCAAAGACAGTGGAGAGCCGTTGAAGCTGGAAGGAGGAAGCCTCTTGGTGGGCCCACCTTCCCAACTGGCTCACTTACAGACCTCCGACATGGGACATCTCCCTAGGATGGGTGCCTGAGTCACCTACAGAAAACCTGCTCGAGTCGCAGAGTCCTGGAAACCATGCAAACGACAAGGAAGGAATAATGAAAGGAGGGGGACAAAGCAAAGGGAAAGACAAAACACAACAAAATAACTTCCTCCGAAGAGAAGCCTGCAAAGAAATCTTCCAAATCGCAGGAAGAACGCTAATACCAAGATGGATGGGAAGGTTAGGGGATTAGTCCACAGTGCATGAAATACAAATATGTTTCAAATGACTGAAATGAGTGTCCTGTAACTCCCATGAATTGATGAGGTATCTTCCAATAATCCTTTAATCAGTATAACAGCCTTCATTTAAACCTTCTGAAGGGGTTCCTGTTTTCTCAAAGAAAGTGACCAAGAATCCATGTGATCCTGTGCCGTGGTTCCTCAGAAAGGCAGGAGCCCTCAGGACATGGGGACTTCTCACCCTCTCTCTTTCTCTCACACTTCGCCTAAGCAGCAAAGGAAAATGTATAACTGATTTGAATGAAAGGACCTTCCCCTTTCTTAGCAATTGATTTAAGAACCGCATAAATATATTCTACCTTCTTTTTCCAATGGCCAAATATACCCTTTTTCCCTGAATACAATCAGGTAGGTTTAGTATTTCATCATCACGTAACCCTGGACTCATCAGATGTCACCTGCCTTTCATAATCAAGATGTGTCATGCAATTCTCTCAAATGCCATCAGTGTTAGACTAATAATAGTTCTTTGGCAGAGGTGGGTCTGTATCTTTGCTTTGCACCATTCTTAAGAGTTTTTCTCATCCAAGAGCTAGATGACTCAACACCAGCTTCCTCCGAAGGCAACGGAAGGTAGGCCTGAAGAGGGAAACAGAGCCCATCACACACTGGCTAGGCAAGTTTAAGTAAGCCACTCAATCTCTCCAAGTTCCCAAGACTCTTAGGGTTATGTTATCAGTTCAATGACATGTAGACATGACTTAGTATATGCCCCACAACAGGAAATGCTTAATTAACATGAGCTGCTATGATTAAGCTTTATTTTTCTTCCTCTTCACTTCCTCTATGAAGGTCCAGTTTCCAAGAAGCAAAATGCCCTCTTCCTGTCTCTCCACTTAAAGCTGAACCTCAGGGTCACAAATCAATGCCACCTTTGACTGCCATCAACCACAAAGTCTTCCAGAGACTATCCAAAACAGAAAAGCCAAGCTGTACTGAAGCAGAAAAGCACTGCAAAGAAAGAGAGAGAATGTAAACAAATACATCTACAAAAGCAGGAGACGTAAAAGATCTTGAGTAATAACCTATATCTGTCCTTATAAAAGCAAAACTAATATAAAATATCTTCAGGCCCAAGGCTGTTACTGGGGCCTCTCCCTTACCAGGAACCCATTCCTTTGGGAAGCCCGGGCTTCAGGCTCGTGGCAGGGATTGTGTTTGCTGGGCTTTCACATTTACCCAAATCATCTCCACCAGCTCATCCAGCACTCCTTCAGTTAAATCTAATTAATTGCAAAACACAGCACTTGGCATTTTTTCCACCACAACTGAAGAAAACGGTCCAGACTGGGTGAAATCATTGCCCAGTTTGCAGCGTTCCTTTCTGCCTTTGTGTTAGGAAGAGCAGGCCTGCCAGATCTGTAAGGCCAGGCTCCAGGGCTCTGTGCCTGAGCCAAGCAGCCTGGCCGGTGAGTGCCACCCCCAGCTGGCGAGTGCTGCCACCACCTGTCCACCTGTCCGTGGGGCACCCTAGCCATCACCCAATGTTTGCCCGGTGCGTGCTGAGCAGTAGTTTCATTCTGCAATGTACTAACATTAGAGGCGGCGGAGGGGCAGGAAGAGCAGTGAATTGACACTTTCTTTGAACAGACCAGGTATACGTTGCATCGCCTTATATGCTGGCAAAAAGTGAAGGATGGGCATACTGAGAAACCAAAAGGAAACAAGGCTCACATTTCTGAACTGAAAGATCATCAAGATAGCACTTAATGCCTGGGTGTCCCTTTTGAATGTGTACACTACAATTCTTCCTTTTGATACTTTATGTTTGCACTTCATAGCTTACAAGTCGCTGTGTGTTAAAAGAAATGTTTAAATTCAGCCCTAAAGACATCAAGATAGAAGGTGAGGGAGATGGGGGCGGGTAGAGAGATTGAGATAAGCTGAGGCTTTGGGAGGAAAGGGGCTTGGAATGATGTGCTTGCCACTGTCAGTTAAAGGGAAATACCACTTTCTTCCCTGCGGTGGCTGTAGTAAGTCAGGGCACGGAGGTGCCTACTGTTTGGGGTGTATCCTCACCTAGGGAAGCCAAGTGATCAAGAAATAAGCATGAAGTGGATGGCCAAGTAGTTTAATTCCAGGCCTTCGGATAGACGTTAACATGGTCAAAGGATGACCAGCAGATCCAGCCCAGTTACCAAGGTCAGGAGCCAGATAGGTCGGGATCACATTACACCTTGAGAAGCCATCAGGAGGGGAGGGTATGTGTGCCTCTGGGGTCTTGGTTCACATGCCCTTCGATATTTAAGCAAGGGGATGGCTATGGGGAGCTGGACAGGTAGAGATGTGGCCACAGAAGGGAAAGAGTATACAATCGCCACATGACCAAAAAGCAACTAGTTTATAAACATGAAGGTCTGAGATCATTCTTTTTTTTTTTTTTACAATGACTATCATCATTGATTTTTTTTTTTTAAGATTTTATTTATTTATTTGACAGAGAGAGACACAGTGAGAGAGGGAACACAAGCAGGGGGAATGGGAGAGGGAGAAGCTGGCTTCCCGCTGAGCAGGGAGCCCGATGCGGGGCTCGATCCCAGGACCCTGGGATCATGACCTGAGCTGAAGGCAGACGCTTAATGGCTGAGCCACCCAGGTGCCCCAGGTCTGAGATCATTCTTGAGTGAGGGGAGTTTTCTTTCAGCCTAGAGATCAAAGGTGAGACAAGCCCATCCAATACCCGCAACTACATGACCACCTTAGGACTGTGCTAACCAGTTCCAAAGAGACCACACCTGCACTGTCCACTGAAGCATCCACTGGCCACAGGCGGTGATTGAGCGCTGGAATGTGTCTAATACAAACTGGAGATGATGGAAGTAGAAATATACGCCGGATTTTGAAGACAAGCACACATTGAACACAAACTATCTCATTAGTGATTTTTCTATGATCGCATGTTGAAATGGCAAATGTATCCCTTTGCAGACTTAGAAGGTCTCAAAGGAGGGTTAGAAACCTGCTCCAGGTGCAGTGCTAAGAGATGGGTTATTTAAAAGTGCAAGGAGGCAGAGCGACACAGAACTAGCAGTGAAGCCAAAGAACTTGTTTCCAAATTGACGCGAGACATCTATACATGAAATACTACTTTGTGCACAAACTAATGCCATTAAGGGTTAATATATCCTCCTCCTAATCAGTCAAAAAAAAAAAAAATCCATTCCTGATTCTCTCTGGGACCTTGTCACTATACTGACAGAATTCTGACAGCTTCTACAGTGATGGATATGCTCCCCGAGTAAAGGCTGAATGCCTTATGTCAAATGTATACCTGACATGCTCAGGAATTATTCTTCACTTGCCTCAAGCCAGCAAGCTTTCTTCATAAATCCATCACGAGGCCTCGCCTTTATAGAAACTCTGCCCCTACTCAAAATTAAAAGTTTCATATTCTAAACTAATCAGATTAAAAATATCAATCACTTACCTAGAGAAACATTTCATAAACTCCAGGCCTCTTTCACAACACATCCATTTTAACCAAGTAAAGTAAAATAAAATAAAACCTGGTTTCATATAAGGTACAAGATAAGCCAAGTCTTGGTTCTGAGTGATTAAACTACAGAGGTTACCATTGAGAAAATAATTAGTACAAAAGTATGCACCAACCCTCGGGTAAATCTACTTTCCTTAGGAGCATGCCTGTTGCAAGGGACCCGAGTATAAATGTCAAGTGCATTTGTAAGTTATGTGGAAGGATGTGAAAACCGAAGCCAGGAACATAGATACGGTCCCCAGGAGGAAAAACTACCTAGGACATAAAAGAAGAGTAATATCTAGCCTTGCAGAGTACCTATTAATTATGGTATATTTAAAGAAAGGAGGCTAGAAAAGACAGGCTAAGTAGGAGAACTAGCTGGTCTTCATGTCAAAAAGGTGTTATTAATGGCATCAGGGCGTATTCACAGATATCCAACACTGTAATTGGGTCTGGTCTTTAGGATTCATTAGCCATCTACCAAGTGTCACTTGCTTGTCATTCTGGTTTTGTCCCAGACATGCTACTGAGATGGTTTTCTTGAAAACCACTAGTTACCTCCTAGTCTCCAAAATCAACGATAATTCTCCAGTCTCTCCTTCAGGATATAACCACTGCGTCTTTCTTGAAACTCCTTTGTATTTTGTTTTTGTTTTTTTTTTCTTGACAGAATAGACTATGAGTGGTCCTTTCTACCTCGATCTTTTCATTTTTCTTTGGAACCTTGGCCCGGATTCCCTAACGGCCACTGTGTCACGAGTGTCTGGACTCGGCTCTCTTCTCTTCGTCCTTCAGGCTTTAAAGCCCCAGGTTTTCAAATACTTCTCTAGTTGCAGAGAATGCCTCAAAACCACATAACCTAGAACGTGCTTCCTACACATTCCCAGTGAAAAGAGGAAAGGAAGAAGAAAGGAGAAGCGAGAGCGAGCTGCCAGGAGGCTCCAGGAGGATGCGAGAAATTTGGAAGGGGTGGCACTCAGTCAGTGGTGAAGCCCAAGATGTAAAGATGGAATGCGAAGTGGACATGGGTTTGAGGTCATGGTCACTTCGGTTGAGCCATGAAGAAAGGCTAAGAACTATGAATTCAGGACAACAGGCATAGCCTCAACTTCTCTTCTATCACTGTGATTGAGAGAAGGAGAAAAGATGGGAGCAAATGCTGAAGCCATATAGAAAGATAAGGAGATTCTAAAATAAGGAAAAGAACTGTAGTAAAGGGTCACAATAAGTTTATATTTTAAGATAACTAACCTGGGGACAGCTGAGCTAAGAACACTCTGTGTGTGTATATGTATGTTACACATAATAAATATACTAATATATATTTAATATACTTATATATACAAATATATATACATATACATATATATGTATATGTGTGTATATATATATATATATATATATATACACACACACACACATACTATATACTAAATACAAACATATTCCCAGAGGATTTGTTTGGATATAATTCTACTAAAAAAGTTGGGAAAATTCCAAACCAGCCTATCCTAGAACACTTCAACTGATTGAACTTTAATTAGTATTGTGGCAGAAAATATTCCATGGTCAAATAGTTTTGGAAAACACTGGGTTAAATAAAGTGAAACAGGTTTGGCTTCTCAGCTGTAAAATTGTATAATGAATTTTATAAGCTAATAATGTGCATTGTGAATCTTGACAAAGGTAAACACTATTTTCCCAACTGAAAAATGTTTTCATCTTCAGGGAGTATCTTAAAGGACCAGTGGAAACACTGTTCTGTTTTTTTTCAGTTGCATTTATTGGTATATAATGTATATCCAATGCTGTATTAAGTGCTATGAGAGGTAGTTAAAAGATTTTGTTGCTACCTTCAAGAATAAAACATTCTAATTAGGGAGATTAGAGAAAAGCCAAAGAGGGTTCATAATAAAAATTCTAGGTCCTGTGAGAGCGGACTCCAAATACAGAAGAAAAAGACACTGGGCAGCAGAGTCTAAATGTCATGGTTCTCAATTCTCTGCTTTGCTAAATATACCAACATAAGTAGAGGGCAAATGGAGAAACAGATGAGACAAATAGAGGAAAATATACCCATAATATTAAACTTCAGCACAATTCCATCTTTTCTTCAAAAATGAATACAAAGGAAACCAATCAATGATCTTTAAGGTAAACCACTGCCAGTATTCTAAGTTTTATCTCCTCTCATAAAAGAACAAATGCAGTAATTTTGTCCATATACTTCTCCTTAATGACTGTGACCAATTATTAAGAACCAAAATAAATAAGTTATTTTTTAAATTAAGAACTTAGTCATCTATAACCTTCATTCTAATGATCTGACTCCCTTCTTACCTTGTAGAACAGGAAGGGGTAACAGTAAAGCTGAGGGAGCAGAACATAATTTAAGAATCCAGGAGACAATAACAACATCTCTTCTAAGCCTTTATGGGCTATGATTCTCATAGACAGAGACCTAGGTCTTAGGGGACTGGAAAGAGGTGAGGTGGGAATGAATAAAGAGAACTGTCATACAGAGAGCAAAAGAAAGATGGAAGAAATAAGGGAGAGAGCTTGATTCTATCTCGAGGACCTACCGTTCCATCCCCACCACAGGCCAGAATTCGCAGATTTGGTACTTTCCTATACAACTCAAGCCTGTAGAGGAAAAAGAACATGAAGTAAACAAAAGAGCTCATCACTGGCCATCGCAGAGAGAAAACATGAGCAAAAGAGGAGGAGGGGATGTCCACTGGAGAAAATGTATAATCATGAGGATAATGATGTCATCAAAACTAGTTACCAAGTTATCACAAGGGGATGGACCCCAACAACTGGATCAGAGGTTGGCAGCAAAAATCATTTTTAAATGGCTGACATTGGAATGGGATTTCAGAATGTCCCAGAGTTTTATTTCCCATAATCCCTATTAATGCATCAACTCACATGGTTTTCCTAATTAGTTCCGACTTTCTTTTCTTTTCCCATCATACTCCTTCCTCCTTTCTCAAAGAAAATCCTCATTAACTGGTAGTCACTAGTCATTATATGTCTCCTCCTTATTTTTTGTCAGCTTTTCCTGGATTTGCTTTTCAAACTTACACTTTCCACTCTTAGTCCCAGTAAACCTTTTCCGAGAGACAGGGTGGAGGGAGGATGCCCACAGCATTACCACACTCTTACAATTCTAGTTCTCTCTCCACTCATTCACTAACACTCGAACCAAGTTTATACTCCTCAGCCCAAAGAGGGAAGATTTACTGATTTTTCTTTATTTAAAATTTGTCTGCTTAAAATTAGATCATTTTTCATGCTGGCTCTTGAGAAAACACAACTATAGCACCCCTGCTAAAACATTTCCTTAAGTGAAACTGTCAATGTCTCTGTTCTAAAAAATATCATCTTCCAAATCAAGTTATTTTTTTTTCTGGCAACATCTCCTATCTGGCCACATTCGTTAGGATAACCTATGAAGGCTCTGCCTAAAGTCTAACCAAAGTGATAAGATTTTAAGAAAAGCATCTGAAAGGGCAAAAGCCAGGGTAGCAGATTTGCCTTAGCCCATCCAAATACAGAAAAGAAAATAGAGAAGTTTTATAGCGAACTCTAGTGGTGAAGAAGTTCATAGATTAAAAGAATGATGGCAGAAATTAATTTTTATATTTAATGTTCTCCTGAATGCTTCAAATATAGGATTTATTAATATCATACAGGAATATTATTTCTCTAGAAATGATCTGAGCTGGCTACTTTGCCTCTGATATTATTACTTATTTAAAAATAATTAGTATCCCTTAAGTTCTGTTTATCCAATGACATCCAAACTATGTTAATACATGGGTTTTAAAAAGGGAATCCCACAGTAGCAGAAATAGTCCTGCTCTTTTCCACCACATACAGGACTACCGCCACCAAAGGGAAGATACAGGATACATGTCACCTACATCTAAACTTTATTTTCAGCACTTCTAACAAAAACAGAATGAAACTTATGAGAACTTCAGAAAAAGGGATTGAGCAGGAATTAAAATGTCTTCCCATTCTGGTGTGGAATCCATAGGCATAATCAATTAATCTGTCTCAAATGGACACAGGTGCACACACAAACCTCTTATTCAAATACACGAACACATTCATAAACAAATATGGCCACTTTCCAAAGATACACTTCCATTCTCACTAATGTACATCTCCCAAGTTGTACATGCATAAGTAGAAAAAGGACAAATCCTTTCTCAGTGCAGACTTGTAAATAATCTACAGTTGCATGCACATGAACAGCAAACACACAAGAAATATGCCCTGAGTTAACAACTGTGTAGCTAGTTTGGAAGGGAATTAGCCCAAAGAAGAGTCGGAGGAGAAACGTCAGATGAAGGTTTAAGGGAGGTGACTACAGTTGAGAAAGTCAATGAGGGATGGTCAGAAAATATTTCACAAGGTAATCTAATAATGAAGCTTGACTTCACAGCAGAAGTCCTTCTTGCTTGCCTAAACCAGTGTGGACCACGGGGGGGTTATTTGCAGACTTACGCATCTTTGGGCCCTTCCTGAGAAAGATCAAACACCTGCCGTGGATTCAGGTACCACATGAACATCTGCATGACTTTGGTTCCCTGTAAGAAAAAAAAATTTAAAAAGACAATAGAGATTTCCAAATATTTGCTGCTCATTGAAAAAATAAAAACAAATCCTCTTATCTAAAATATCACCTAATTATAAATAGCATGAAGTAGTAGTTAAAATCATGGGCTTTGGCCACTGATATACAGGTTGAATGTCCAGAGGAGGCTTTTGTCCAACCTGTGTAACTCTGGCCAAGTTCTCCAATTTCAGTAAGCCCAACTTCCTTCCCTTTAATGTGGAGATAAGAATGCCTCGTTCACAGACTTGTTGCAAGAATTACGTGCAATCACATTTGAGGAGCACGTCACAGTGCTTGGCATGCAATTAAGTGCTTACTGAACAGTATCTACAGGTTTTACGATCACTCAACATAAAAACCCATGTAGGGAAGTTATTAGTCAGTCCACGTCATTTGACATTAATTTTAACTTCACTGTGAAGATTACTTTTATCTTTGCATAATATGAAGATAGACGGTATGTGCTAAGTGTGATTTTACTGAAAGAATTTCTCTTAACTGAAGCAAAAGTCTCACAGGCTCCTCATTATCTAGGATAGATATATGTAACTTTCCTAGTTACAGCTTACTTTGACTTTGTTTCAATTTCCATGTCCCTAAGTCAAACAGTTCTCACATGAACATTTTTGGAATGTCTTAAGTAATTTATAACTGGCATTTGTAGAACTGATCGTCATGGAAAACACAAGGCCGTTCTGGAGATCCTTGTTTTTTTTTTTTTTCAAATATTTTATTTATTTATTTGTCAGAGAGAGAGCATGTCAGGCGGAGGAAGAAGCAGGCTCCCTGCTGAGCGAGGAGCCGGATGTGGGACTTGATCCCAGGACCCCGGGATCATGACCAGAGCCGAGGCAGACGCGTAACTGACTGAGCCCCCCAGGTGCCCCTGGAGATCATTTCTTTTTCTTTCTTTTTTTTTTTAGATTTTATTTATTTATTTGACAGAGAGAGACACAGCGAGAGAAGGAACACAAGCAGGGGGAGTGGGAGAGGGAGAAGCAGGCTTCCCGCGGAGCAGGGAGCCCGACGCGGGGCTCGATCCCAGGACCCTGGGATCATGACCTGAGCTGAAGGCAAACGCTTAACGACTGAGCCACCCAGGCGCCCCTGGAGATCATTTCTTAACAGTGAACTGAGCAAAGAAGAAATGAAAGAAGGATCATTTCCTTAAGCAGCATCAAAAGAGCTTTAAAACTGCGTAGGGTGCCCCATTTTAGGTCATTAACAGCCGCAGCAAATGACATTTGATCAGTTGGGCATGCTTGTAGCTTATATTAATAGTTCCTTTATTAGCTATCCTGAGTGCTCTTAAAATATTCCCAAGTTTGTACACCTACTATGCTGTATCTGAGAGTCATCCCAGGACAGCAGAAATAGCATGGTATTTGAGTCAGTAATAACGTGGGTGTTCTCATTAGGTGATCGTGAGCATTTATAATCCTGCAGAAATCCAGCATATTAAATAGGAGGGCAACATCTACATTCCAGAGGGATAATGAGAATTAAATGAATCAGTAACAGTTACATATCTAACACAGTATGTGGTGCAAAATAGGCCTTTGTAAAAGTTAGTCCCTTTCTTTGTTGCTCCTTGTTAATCTATTCAGTAAATTGCACTTGAGGGCGTGAGGGCTGAAGTGTAGCTTGTAATTATCACATTGTTATGCCGGTTGTTACAGGGGCCAATGCAGGTCTTTTGTTCCACATTTCATCCAAACCTGTAATTTAAAAGTTCTGCTTTATCATGTGCTTGCTATAAATTTAGGAATAACAGTCTATCCTTAATTATTACAACTAATTCTTCAACTTCACCAAGTGACATATTTTGCTTCCTATAAAATTCAGACATAGATTTGGATACATAATACCAACTAAATACTGGATCATTCTCTTCCCATACTGCGCCTTGCTATCAAGTCAGTTGCGGGTTACGTCAAGTAATCTTTGATGCATAATTGGTAACGCCAGAGTCATTTTAATGACAGATTTATAAAAAAATTTCACACTGACTTGCTCAAAAATTAATTTTTCAGTTTTAAATTCCTAGAGCAATATGAATAGTTAATGTTAATTACTCCTTTCCACTTCTGGCCACGGCTGAGTGCTCGTCTCAATTTCAGCTTCTATGTGCCTGCGATACCAGGGAATGGTATCTAAAATAAAATAAAATAAATAAAAAATAATAAAATAAATATAAAATAAAAGGCATTTGGAGGTGGTTTTTCCTAAACTAAAATTTCTCCAAAAGGTCTGAGTGACCACACCATTTTGGTTTTGCTCCTTTTAAGTGTGTGTTCATGGCGATGCCCAATCATCTACATTTTTCCTTTGGAGGAAGGGGAATTCAGGTTGGCAAGTTTTAAGATGCACCATCTCCAGGAGGCCCCATCGACACCGCAGCCTACTGGAAGGATGCCCTCAGAGCTGTGCAGGGGTAACGTGCAAAACCATACACGTCAGAATGTAATCAGAGGTTACATTCAGGTGTGAGAGAATTATTTCTTTTAAAATGAGTCTTTCTAAAATATATGCATTAGCAAAACCGGCAAGGGTCTGAAAAGTACTGCGTTGTTTTAAATCCACCATGGCGGGTGGAGAAAAAAAAAGGTGGTCCAACACAATGAAGTCAGTTCTCTTAGGTCTGCTGTGACCTCTAGGATGAGTTACTTTAAGGCTTAGGTAATTCATTCAATAGAATTGAATGGCTCGAGAAATGCTAATTCACCAGGAAGAGAGTCATTTCTTTCTCACTGACAGGATTAAACTGACTCAGGGGTGCCTGGGTGGCTCAGTCGTTAAGCATCTGCCTTCGGCTCAGGTCATGATCCCAGGGTTCTGGGATCGAGCCCCACATTGGGCTCCCTGCTTGGCAGGAAGCTTGCTTCTCCCTCTCTCGCTCCCCCTGCTTGTGTTCCTCTCTCGCTGTGTCTCTGTCAAATAAATAAATAAAGTCTTTAAAAAAATAAATAAATAAACTGGCTCAGACATTTACACAGCTAGTGAGTCTCAAACATGCTCGTCGTTGTCACTGGCCACAAGCCAAATCCCCAAGCTGCACTTTTTTTTTTTTTTTTTGTAGGCTATTGTGCCAGTTTGTTTCTTCCTGCTCTTTCTCCTCCCTGATCCCGTCATACACCTGCCTTTCCTCCTTGCTTTCACTCCCTCTCTGGGCATGCAAAGAGCAAGCCACTATGTTAAGCCCCGGGACTACAAAGATAAAGGACATGAAACCGCCTTAGAGTTCATCAAGATTTAGGAGGAAAGAAAGACACAATGTTTGAAGAACATGCAACATAGAGTTCTCAGTTGCTTTCATGTTAAGGTCCTATGGCTAGTGAGCAGGAAAGGAGGTGCAGGGTCCATGGGCTAGAACTTTCAGCCTTGGGCTTTTGTCAACCTCAAGTCTAGGTTACTTGGGGTTTTTGGTTTTCTGTTTTGTTTTATTCTTGAGAAAAGCTGCCACTTCTCTGTGAGAGTAGTCTACTTTTCTCTAAATGGAAAAAATAGGTTGCATGTCAATTCTAACACACTCCGGGAGGGTTCTCATACGCACAGCTGTAGCTGTATCATCTCATTGACTATTGAGCCTGTTAAGATATTGTGAGAATGGGTATTCCTGTGGAGTGACGAATAGGTTCTTTCTGGCTCCAGGTGTTGGAGAACAGGCTGGGAGAGGAGAAAACAATTTCCCAGAAAACAGGTAGATTGTTCTAGAGGGAAATAAACAGGATCCATCAACTTACCTACTAGGTGCCAGACACCCTGTTGGGTGGGAAGAGAGAAAGATGGGCAAAACAGGGAAGATCCTGCTCTCCAGAGGAAGTTCTAGGCATTATTCATAAAAGAAAATACGATAATGACTTAGGGGTATGGAGAGTCAATAAAGAATGAATCAGCTCCACTAGCTTATCAGTCTTCATCGAATCCTTGTAACTCTTCTATAGCCTGAAACATGCTGGTGGGTTACCGAGCAAGCCTCAGTTTATGTCACAGAGAGATTATCTAGATCACGGCAAAAGCTGCTAGGAAAGTCCCGAGGAAAATAAAAGCTAGTGGAAGGAAGAGATTAAGAAATAATTATTTCAAACTGGCTTCAAACAACCCCAAAGGAATACCTAATTTACTTAAAAAACACATGGGTACACTCAGGAAGCTCAGAAAGAGGCAAATACAAAATGAATGAGTCTGGGCGCCTGGGTGGCTCAGTCGTTAAGCGTCTGCCTTCGGCTCAGGTCATGATCCCAGGGTCCTGGGATCGAGTCCCACATCGGGCTCCCTGCTCGGCAGGAAGCCTGCTTCTCCCTCTCCCACTCCCCCTGCTTGTGTTCCTGCTCTCGCTATCTCTCTCTCTGTCAAATAAATAAATAAAATATTAAAAAAAAAAAATGAATGAGACACCTGCTGAGGAGCAGGAGTGGCCGGAGGAGACACTCTAAGCCCCAGTTTGGGGATTAGATGAAGGCATCCCATATATGATATCTGAACTGTTTCTTGAAAGACGAGTAAAGTTAACCATTTCTTTACACGTGGAGAAGAGAATGACGAGGCACCAGACATGTCATGGGGACACTGTGTCCTGTTCAGTCTCTGAACCGTGAGGCAGGAGCGGTGGGAGATGAAACTGAGTTGTGGATTAAGTTGCTAAGGGGCCTGGGCTTTGTTTTATAGGAAATGAGAGTCACTGAAATGTTTTAATCAGGGGAGCCAGACTGACATTTTGATGTATCAGTCTGGCTATAAACTAAGAAGCTAGACAGCCAGGCAGGCCCTAGACCTTTCAAAGGAGGTGGGGCCTTGGGGGAAGTGGAGCCCTCGTGAAGGGATTAGTGCCCTTATAAAAGGGACCCTAAAGAGCCCCCTCATCGCTTCTGCCACATGAAGACAGAGTGAGTGGACACAGTGAGAGACGGCACTCCGTGAACCAGGAAGTGGAACCTTACCAGCTCCCCTATCTGCTAGTGCCTTGATCGTGGGCTTCCCAGCCCCCAGAACTGTAAGGAATAAATTCCTGTTTTTAAACCATCTAGTCTCTGGTATTCAGTGACAGCAGCCTGAGTAGAGTAAGACAGCTGCCCGCCCCCCACACTTCCACGAGTATTATTACTGGGAAAAGGGACTTTCCACAGATTTGTTGTTTCCTTGTTTTAATTCCATCTGTTGAGGTTGGCTTGACAAGAATATCTTGAGCGTGGATTTTGACACGTGTGATTATCTGCTGCCTACCCTTCTGCCCTCTCCCTAGCCTATTCTAAGCATTAGGAGCCTAACATTTTATCCAAACATCCTGATTCTTGATTTATCCCCAAGTTGTACATCACAGAATATCATTGAGGTTGTTTGCTCAAGTATTTAGAAAGTTTGGGGACTCAAACATTTGAAGTTATTGACTTTTGTCTCCTTCTCCCACCTTGGTTGACTTGTCCCTGACTTAGGAGGGGTGGCCCTGGGGTGACGGTGCATAGATCCAGCCATGGGATGGTGGTGAACTCAGCGTGAGCCTGCCCACAGATTAGACACCCCCTTCCTCTTGCCATCTACTGATAAAGCCCCTGGGAAGTCAAATGCAACTCATGCCACCCCTCAACCCTGGGATTTCACATTGAACAGTGTGAGAAGCCAGGGTTCAGACCCCCCAACTGTCAGGACTGACAAGGTAGAATCACTCTAGGGGTCAGAACACCTGCTTAACCCTGAACATACAACCTAAGTTCCTGGAAATGAAGTCCTGAGAGGGAGCCTTCAGAAGAGATCGTATGAAAGTAGGAAATATCGAGAGATATCAGAAGTGTCTATAAGACTCAGGGAGAAAGATGCTAATGAGTCAGGGACATCCAAGAAAAACACTTAAGAGCGGAGGTTAAGTTATGTAAGGGAGGGTGGCTATTTCTCGAGTCCTCAGGTTTTCAAACACAGAGGAGGGGACTGTACTGGTGTAAACTTTATCTCCCAGGTATTACATCTTCTCCACAGGAGGAAACTCAAAGTTGATCTTGTGGTCCCTGATTCCAGTTCCTGTTCCCCCAACAAGAGCACTGCCAACCTCTAAAACTTTCAAAACACCCACTATCATCTCCACCTTAAGTGAGGGAAAAATAGAGACAATTATTGTGAAATAAGTGTTTAATACAAATTATTGTTTAAAAGGTACATAGAAGCAGTTCCAAATGTTTTCATCTCAATGTACTCCTGCAAAGTGTTGGAAAATTTCTGCATACGAGAAAAATACGGTTTTTTAAAAAGCTATAGGTATTTTTCTTGCCAGAAGGTGGCAAGAGAGTCTAGTTGTTTACTTAAGAGAAGCCCAAGCAAGTTTAAATAAAAGTTTGAAGTCTAGGCTTCAAATAAGGAGTGCTTTCTATCTCCCAAAGATAAGCAAAATAAATCAGTCATTAAAAGGCAAAAAACAGGATTGAACAACAACAGCGGTGAAGTACTTCTAGTCAGCCCTCGCTAATCAGAGTGTGGTCTTTGAGTTGCAGTAACAGTCACCTGGGAGCTTGTTAGAAAAGCAGAATCTCACCGAACATAATTTAAAAAACAAAAACAAAAAACACTTGCCGAATCTATAGGGTACCAATGGCAGGCTCTAATTCATGATTGCAAGAGGCATCCAACCTGGGAAGGCACCTTTATTGAATGACACCATCCAACAGCACATTTAATAAGCTCAAAGACAAAAAACTGATTGAATGAGCTTAACTTGACTCTTTACCCTTGAGTTGTATGAAAACATGGATGTTAAAAAAAAAAAAGAAAAAAGCAGAATCTCAGGGCCAACTTCTTGGGGTTCACTTGCCCTGTTTTCACTGCCATCCTTAGTCCTCCTTTGACCCTTTAGTCTCAATGAAGGTCGGGCAGGGGAGGGGGCAAAATTATGGAGGAAACAAGATTCAAGGGAGCCAAGGAGGGAGAAACTTTCACAGTTCATCCTCGGACTCTCCATCACCCAGAATCTCCCCTCTTCTGCAATGTTAAGGGCATAGACAGCGACAGCACAGGAAAAGGGGGGCCCTAACAGAGGAATTAGATCATCTATGACCACGACCCTTCCCTACTCACTACAACTGGGAATCAAGCTGTGCCTTCCTAAGGAGATCGGTTTGAATGATTGCAATTACACATAGGTATTCGGATGTCTTTAAAGTTTCTCAACATTTCATACCATGCTTAGAAGCAATGCTCTTTATTAGGCTTAGTAAAGAATTCTATTTTATAAAGAAAGTATATAGAAATGTAAAATTATGCAATACTCATCTTGATTTGGTTAGCCATACTTCTGAGAATCCTAGATATTCTAGAAGTAATCTCATAAGCCAAAATGCACAAAATGAGAGCAAATCATTAAAGTCTTTTGTCTCTAATGACTGGGCATTTTTTATTTGAATATCTCACAGTCACTTCCAGTACCTCAAACACATCTCAACTTCTTTTCCAAAATAATTCTTCCCTTTCCTGAATTCTCATCAGTAACGAAGCCACTGTCCAGATAATCTGCTGTAAAACCCTGATTGCTTATTATACAATTATTTGTTCACTTCTATAGCCCACGTACTAGAAAGCACAGGTTGAAAGGTGCAGCCCCAGGTATTATGGAGCGTGTAAGTTAGCAGAACCCCCATAGAGCACTTACCTTGCAACTCACAAAATACAGCTTTTGTGTAAATAGCTCCCAAGTGCTATGGGAGCACAGTGGACAGGGTGATTCATTTTGAGAAATCGTTCCAAGCCTTAAAGGATGAACAGGAGTTTGCCACCGAGAGAGAAGGAAAGGGGCACTGCTCCCCCAGCTTTCTCTCTCTGCATAAATAAGTGGTGTCCATCTTCAATTCAGCCATTTCCATGACACCACCTTCTTACCACTACCACTGCTCTGAAATTCCAGAGCAGTCTCGGTTTGATCCACTCAATTTAGAACTCACATATAATTAATGTTGCTTGATTTATTTTTCCCATTTGCCCCTTTGGTGTCATTAACAGGATGTCCTTAGAAAATTTACTTAAACTTTCTTATTTTCTATTTAGTGCAATAGGAAACAACATCAGATCATCTCTGAAGTCCCTGGCATTACTAATTTACGCAGAGATCCCAACAAAAATGGGCTCTATCTTTACTGGCCTGTCTGCTCCTGAAACCTACAAGTTTCTAAATGCCCTAGGAAAAAGGCTTATGATTTAATGAGTGCATCTTCTAGAATGACCCTCATGATAAAATATATTGGGAATTAGCATGTGATACTCAAGTGGTCAAAATCAATGGAGTCAATTACATCAGCTTTGCTCTGTTCCGTGGTCCCCAAATACACCTCCAACCCTCACTAGGCTCTAGGGAGACCAGACCTAGGGAGTGACTATGGTTCAGGGCACACTGAACATCACCCCCAAAAAGCCCCTCTAGTGACAGTCTCAGGATCGCCATCATTACAATATCGCCAACATCACTCACCAACTTAAAAAAGCAGGATGCTGAAAATAGATTTTCCACTCATGGCACATTTTTTTTTTCCCTGTTCTCTTCAACATTAAAGATTTTTAACACAGCAAGTTATCGAGAATTTTAAAGTAAAGAAAGAAATGGAGAGAAACTATTTTCTTTAAATCACAAGCTCTCCTAAGAGAAGCTTTACTGTAATTAATCCATTCTGGAAAAATGCCCCTTATGCTTGGTAGTAAGAACATCAGTCCTAATTATACGACTCCCTCCTTACGTGGCGTTAACTAGACAGTTTCAAATCTGTCATTGTTAAGTGTGAAACTTCAAGGAATCTCACCTCAAAATGTAAAATGTGCACTTAGTGGACAGAGAAAATATTTTATCATTTATTCTCACATGAAGGTAGAGAAAAATCAAAGCCAAAGAAGAGTACTGATAAGAAGCCTCAGGGTAGGAAGAGAAGGGTATGAGGAGACAAAGACCTAGATTCTAGAGCAAATTCTGTCCTTTAAAGAGCTCTGTCACTTCAGGTATGTCATCATACTTGAGTGTTGTTAGGCTGTTACTTTCTCCTCAAATGAGGTCGTGATTACTTATGCTACAAGATTTGGGTTTGGACCAAATGAAACCTTTAGAAGGTGATATTTTTGATAGCGTTGTTGGCATCTGCTGTTAATGATCATGGGAATGATGAGTCATTGTTCTCGCTTTGCTCTGAGGATAGGGATGAAAGTAGTCAGGTCTAACTTATAAGGGGAAGCCATAAAGAGAAGTCCATAAAGAGCTTCCTAACAGTAAGAGTTAAGAAACTCTGAAACATATTAACCAAGAGATTTGGGGATGACCTTTTTTGAAAATCTGTAAGGAAAATGTCAGCAGTTTTGGAGTGCCGCTGGTGTAGTCTTGCTTGGAAGCTGAGGGTTAAATCATAGGACCTCTAGGTTTTGCCTAACCCTGCAGTATATAAGGCTGTGCCCTACATCAATAACCCTGTCCCTGAGAAACTGGTTGTCTTTCAGTACTTGGGGTTCTAGGTGGTGCCATTTTAACTGGTGTTGGGAACTGTTTGCAAGAAAGCACTGAGGCTTCCAAGTTAAACTCATGAAAAATGACTTACCTGGTTGCCTCCACTCTTGGGGTTCACAAACACAAGCAAGGGTTTCATGAGAGGAGAAGAGATAGGTTTTATCACAAAAGGACGACCTTTGTTTTCCTGCTGAAAGAAGCAACACTATTGAGACATTCATCCATGACTTGGACAGGCAGCCCAAAAGCGATGAAAGGGAAAACTATCAACACCCCACCACTGCTAACCCTTGATCCCGTCAAATAAAAAAGCTACATCTTGTTTCATGGGGCTTACTCTTTGAAAGATAGTCCATATAAAGTTTAGAAGAAAGGATCTCAAGCTATAATTTGCCTTGGAGAATAAGCCATGTTTTTTATTTTATTCTGTATGCTCTGAGCATTCTAGAAATGTGAGGTCTTCATCTTCATCATCTTTGGGATAATACTTCCATGGACGAGTGCAAATTCTCTGATCCTGAAGTAGCAGGAGGTTATACATATACACATTTTCCAGAGATAGAAAGGAATTCCAGCATGTGGTTTGAGTGTAGTGAAGGAGGGAAGAGGGATTGAAAATTTATCAGGAAAAGAAGCTTGGGCCAGATCAAATCACACAGAGGTAGCTACGGTCAGGAGGATGTAGCTGCTCACTGGGACGGAGTCCTGAAACACTTACTTCAGTCCCTCTTTTACTGGCTTTTCTTTTAAAGCTTGTCCTCTTCTTCTTCCGGTTTGAAGCCTTCAGTGAGTTCTGTAGGGAAAGAAGGAAACAGCTTAGCTCAGAGGCAGACAGTGCCCGAGATTCCCATGCAGACCCATGTAGGAGATGAGGGCAGCGCATGCTGTTCCCCCGCATGCTTCTCATGCTTTGACACTTCCAAGCCACTGTTCATGGGTAAGCCACAGACAGAAACCAGTCGAGTGCTTCAGAGTGAGCGACCGACTCCCCACCACACGGAGAGGCAGGGAGTTAGAACCCTGGAGGCTCTCATGGACTCACATAACAACACAAGTTATACCTGCCAACCCTCCCAGTAAAAATGGAAGAATCCCAAATTCTCTGAGGGGCTCCAGTGTCCCGCCCAACCAGGTCCGTCTCCCGCCCAACCAAGTTCAAGTTCATCTCCTGCAATGGAGATCACCTATGTGGAAATGTAAAAAAGGAGGCCATTTTTCATGTTTTTCTTTTCTTTCTTTCTTTCTTTCTTTCTTTCTTTCTTTCTTTCTTTCTTTCTTTCTTTCTTTCTTTCTTTCTTTTCTGTTTACTTTTTTTGGTAATGACCTTTCTACTAATAGTCATAAAGTAACTCGACCCCTGTGGAACATTATGATCCAACTATCCTATCAGCGCTGGTGGCTACGTTTTAAAATGCAGAGATAAGACTCACTTTAAGTTACTTATATTAGTAGAGGTCTTTCTCTAGAGACCTATTAGTTTAAAAAGCCTTCCTTCCCCCGGTAGCCTTGATTTGTTCTTCTCATAGATGTGCCTCCAACTTGTGGAACACAGTGACCCCAAATTTACTTTCCCTGTTTTTCTCTTTCTAGGAATTTTATGGACCACAACTTTGTGATTACTTCAACTAACCATTTACTCTTAATATATGATACAGATGCTTTGAGAAGAACCTCTCTTAGGGGACAGTCACAACTCACTGGTTTAATTAGTGGAGAGTCAATAATTAATTAGATTGCCATCTTCACAAAGGCAAGATGTTACTATCACATCATAGATGTTTAACAAAGTGTTGAAAGCCTGAAACACAGAATGCTTAACTTAAAAGTTTATATAAGCATATACACATGCATTGCTTCAGCAGATAAAGATTTTCAAACAGTTTCAAGAAACTTAGGTATCTATTCTTTTAGGTTGCTGGGTGTTTTTTTCTTACCTCATTCAAAATAAACCTTAGTCTCGAGTACATATATTAACACATTCAAATTAGCAAGATTGAAACTATTTAACTTTTGATTTTACTTTCATTTGGACCATAAAAACGTATGTTGCTCTGTAGCCGGTGCTCATGAAGGATGAAGGAAACTTTCCTGAATCACCATTTGCCCCAAAGCCTTCTTCCCCCATCAGATTAAAAGAGTTTTCAGGTTCTGAGTCTCACCAGAAGAGAGAGATCCAGAAGCTCAGAAGCTCATGGCTGCTCTAGACCCCAGGTTATTTCTTACACTCACCATGGACTATACTTCTCCTACAAAATGATCTCCAAGTTTCTGAATTCCTCTTTAAATTGGTTTATTACCATGTTCCACTTCGGGGGAAACTTTTGCATTATTAAAGTATTTCTTACATGTGAACTACTTTGTTTAAAAGGGAAGAAAAGCTACCTGGAAACTGCAAACACTTAATCAGCCAAATGTCCCAAGAATAATGTTAGAAACTCTTAGGATGGCAATTAATGATACTGAGTGGTTCTTAACCCATCACTACACGTTGGCCTCACCCAGAGCTCTTTTAAAAATGCAAATACGTGGACCCCCGAAAATTCTTTGTTTGGAGTGAGGCCAAGGCAAAGGTACCTTTTAAAAGCTCCCCAGGCAATTCTAGTGTGCAGCCAGAGTTGAGAGCCTCTGAAGTCAAAGGGAAAAGTGAGGGGACGTACATACTGCACGAAAGCATCATTTCAATGGGATAAGGAGCATTAGCTATGGAATCGGACACATTGGGTGGTAATTCTGGGTCTTCTCGTTATGAGATCTGTGACCTTGGCCAAGTCAGTCAAGCTTTTGAAATAACAGTTTCTTAATTTTAAGATGAAGGTGATAATACCTACCTCACAGGATAGTTGTGAAGTTAAAAGGAGGAAAGGTATGTGAAGCAGTTAGCTTGGTCTCGGCCCATGATAAGCGCTTCCATAAACGTTAGTTGCTTCGTTCACAGCTGTATATCCCCAGCACCGAGCACCAATGCCTGGCCCATAGTATGCACTCAAATCATTGTTGAAATGAATCAATATTATAATTCACAACACTTACTGAGTCCTTCCTGATTTTGGAAAGGATCTTTCGGAAGTGAATGCTTGTCTCCTAACTTCTTTGTTTGTTTTAGTTCATTTATTGCCAAGAGCCACGCAGGGAGCCAAGTGCTTTCAGGAACACACGATAGGCCTCGGTTCCTGGCAAGACTCAATAACTAAGCTCTAAGAGATAAGTCTAATGGATCGGGCTAAGATCGTTCCCTAAACTTGCCTGATCACAGAAATCCCAGTTCTTTCAGGCAATTCTGCTGATCAAGCATGTTTGGGAAACAGAGTTAGAAAAGCACATCCAAAGAAGGCTTGATGTCTGAAAACAGAGCAGGCAAGAAACTCAACTCTAATAGGGAACAGACATACAAAATGGCCTTTTTCACACAGATGTAGCAAATATGAAGGCTTCTGAGCCTCATGGAGCCCAATGCCCTTGAAGTCTTCCTTATTTTACAGAACAAGAAGAGGGCTCAGATGAAGCACAGTGGTTGACTTACAGTCCCTGGATGCTTCTATGTGAGCTCGGAGTAAGCTTACAGCCCTATAGTCAAATAGCAAAAGATAAGCAGTATGGGATTTCACAGCACACCTCAAAATTCTCGAGGCTTCCTTCTGTTCATGTGTAAATATGTATCTTGGTCTCAACAGAGAACTCCTTTTAGAAGGTATCATTATCCAATGAGGAACAGATGGATGTGGAAGCATATTTGGGTTGTGTTTCAGCCATGACAAGACGAGTCAGCTAGTCTTGCTAATCTAAGATATTGCTCACCCCGCCTGGGTCAGTCTTGTTGTGAGAATTAAAAGAGCATGATTTTCAAGAACATAAAAATTATTCCAAGAAGTTATTTTGTAGACTTGCTGTGGTATTATTCAAGAAACCATTAATAATACTTGTGCTGTGTTCTACAACAGAGCATCCCTGTTATCAAGGGCAGCTAACTCAGTCATATAAAGGGTTTGCTTCTCAAGCTGAACACCATCCCAACAGTGAAATGTTGTACCCTCATGTGGATTTTTGCATTTTTCAGACTCTAACAACATTTGCCCCCTGTACATTTTGTGCCCACTGTTATGTTCAAATCCTAAGAATAGATAAAGGCCTTCTGTTTTTTTGGACCAGGTATTGGGGTAGTACTACTTTACTACAGAAATAATCCTACCAACAAAGTCTCTATCATAGTCAGGACCCCTTCCTGGGCCGTTAAAAAAAAAATGCCTATGGGTAAATCACTCAACTGGGAATAAAACTTAACTACTTCTTAATATTCTTTAGGGCTTTTCCCAGGTTATGGGATCACAAGGACTGGTTATAACAACAGCTCTAAAGAGAAGATATCTCACACTTCATCATCCCAAATGAAGCCTTCCCCCATTGTATACCGGAAAAAACTCTGACGGGTGGTAGGAGAGGCATGGACTTCGTCTACTAGTGAGTGTTCTCATGCTGCCCTGCTCTAGCTGCACCATTGGGACAAAAGTTGTTCTGAGGATAGGCAAGCAGAGAAATAAAGAAAACTACTTCCAAAAGATAAGGACAGGGTCTCTGCCATTTCTCAGGCACATTTGGTTAAATCATAGCAAGTATTGCCTAACCTTTAGAATTGACCAAAGGAAATGGCTGGAGCAATTTTGAGAGATATGTTTGATCCTAGCTATTATATATCCTGGGTCTCCAGCATTTTCACATTATCCAATTATAAGGAATAAGGACTAACATGGAGAGAGCCCACACGGGCTAGGAAGGAGTTGATTGCAGCATTTTTGTAAGTAGACCATTAGAACCAATATAAATCTCCACCAGTAGGGAATTGGCTAAATAAACATATTTATAGTATGGAATATATATATATACATATAGCAGTTTAAAAAGGAGTTAAATCTAGATGTATTAATACAGGCTTCTCCCCAATATTTTTTTAAGCTAGGAAAGCCAAGTTTTAAAGTATTACATTCAGAGTGATGTCATTTATTAAAAACACACACCTCTAGTCTCCTATAACTTGACCCCACAAAAATTCACGTATCATGGGTCTTTCTCCATCAGCTCCAAGCACTCGCACTACTATTTCAACATCTTTAACTTATTTATACAGTCAAAATATTATCCTCTAACATTTTCAGTCCAGAGGAGAAACACTGACATCTGTAACATTAAATATAACTTTGCCTTTAAATATATGAACAGATTTGTGCTTGATTCTTAAAATTTGGTTCTCTTTTAATTCTGGACTGTCATCTAAATTTCATCATCTTTTATTTTCTAGGTCTCTCCAAATAATTTGGTGATGAAACCCAGCAAATCATCCAGACCAGCCCTGGCTCCCCTTACCATCCAAGCTTTACACAGCTGGTCCCAGAGCAATGATCTACTCAGAACCAGCAAACTTTTAACAAATACGGAAAATATATGACTTAATTCCACCTCTTTACAACCTGCTTTTCCTGACCATTATACACTCAAGTAGGTTTCTTTCTCTTTAGAGTCATTTTTTAGACACAAGCATCACAAATAAAGCTGACTTTATTTGGTGATCCACCTTAACAGTTGTTCTCAGAATGTTCAATAAACTTGTGTTGTCCTTCTTCATCCGTCTTCCCAGTGAGTCCCCTCACATCCTTCAAGACCAAGCACAAACAGCATTTTCTGTTTAGCCTACAATGATCTCCATCACCAAAATTGCTCAGTTCTTCATGTTTCTACCTCATCCCTACATCTCGGGTCACACTCACCCCTCAATGCCTTAGAAGTGTTAGCCTCTCACAGACCATGGCTGGTCCAACCAACCTGTGAGGCATCCTCCTCTCACCACCCTGTGTATATCCATCCTACAAGATGCATGCTGACGACCAAGGCAAACCTTCCAGATACTTGAAGACCACTCTTTTTTATTAAGGATTTATATGTGGCTGAATTCCTTTTCCAGAATCCACGAACTTCCTGCCCAGGGATTTAGTCTGTTGTATCAATTTTCTCCCATAAGGAGGATATTCTTTGTGGACATCAAATGAACATCTGTTTCATCTGTGGGCCTCCTGCTGCATCGAATGGCATCTGTGAATGGAGTTAAATGTCTACTTCATGCAGTTAAGAATATCTTCTTGTTTTTAAGCAGTGTCCTCGCATACAGAAATACACAGAAAAAAATATACATAAATTCTACAAGTAGGGAACACATTTTGTCTGCTGTTCTCCAGCTAATTTCCACATTCTTTTTTTAGCCTTTCTCCATGTCTCCAGTGAATTCTTGAATCTCACTGCTTCCACGCCATCACTAACAGCTTGCCACCCACACTCTACAAACTATAGTTTTGATGGTCATCAATGCTCTAGAGCCAAACACAAAGACTCTTCTCAATCCTTGTTATCTTGTAATGCATAGGGAATTTAACACTGATGACTTCCCTATTTTTCTTTCCATTTTTCATAATGAAACTCTGTGCTATGAGAGGCCTCTCCCTGTTCTGCAGGATTCTCTACCTCCTCTCACTTTCTGGTTGTGGATGCTCACCGCGTCTTCTTCAGTTCTTCAATTCAGTAAATGAATAGCTCTTAACTCTCTGCCATGGGATGAAGATCATGCTAGTGAGCACACAATCCCACTACAGTGTAAAATACAACAGTTACAGTGGCGTAGGTTGAGATGCCGCTTGAGAGCACACCCACCACCAGGCTGTGGCCCCTACTCTGCCTCTTTTCCAGGAGAATCCTTCTCTCCCCTTATTCTCTCAGTGTAATACAGATGGCTCGGGAACAATAACTTCTGTTACTGGTTTTCATCTGTTGATGTAGAACTTCATTGGGTACCCTGTACTCAACAAGGAAAATAACAAGAGCTAAACTTTGAGTTTTACAATGAGCTAGGTTCTTTTTTTTTATTATTCTTATGTTAATCCCCATACATTCCATCATTAGTTTTAGATGAAGTGTTCCATGATTCATTGTTTGTGCATAACACCCAGTGCTCCATGCAGAACGTGCCCTCTTTAATACCCGTCACCAGGCCAACCCATCCTCCCACCCCCCGCCCCTCTAGAACCCTGTTTGTTTTTCAGAGTCCATCGTCTCTCATGGTTCGTCTACCCCTCCGATTTCCCCCGCGTCATTCTTCCCCTCCCGCTACCTTCTTCTTCTTCTTCTTCTTCTTCTTCTCCTTCTTCTTCTTCTTCTTCTTCTTCTTCTTCTTCTTCTTCTTTTTTTTTCTTAACATATATTGCATTATTTGTTTCAGAGGTACAGATCTGAGATTCAACAGTCTTGCACAATTCACAGCGCTTACCAGAGCACATACCCTATCTGGTGTCTATCACCCAGTGATATCTATCACCCAGTGTCTATCATCCAGTCACCCCATCCCTCCCACCCCACCCCCCACTCCAACAACACTCAGTTTGTTTCCTGCGATTAAGAATTCCAATGAGCTAGGTTCTGTTTTATGTGCTTTATTTTTATTTTTTTTAGTTCATTAGTCCTCATGAAAACCCTATAATTAGGTACTAGTATTAATTACACTTTGCCGATGAGAAGCTGAAGAGTTTAAATTCTTTGAGATTATACAAGTCATTAAACAGCAGAGCAAGTTTAAGAATCTAGGCAGTCTGGCTCATGAGCTAGAACTCTTTTTTTAAAAAAATTTTTTGTTATGTTAATCACCATACATTACATCATTAGTTTTAGATGTAGTGTTCCATGATTCATTGTTTGTGCATAACACCCAGTGCTCCATGCAGAACGTGCCCTCCCTAATACCCATCACCAGGCTAACCCATCCTCCCACCCCCCTCCCCTCTAGAACCCTCAGTTTGTTTCTCAGAGTCTATCGTTCATGAGCTAGAACTCTTAACAACTGTATTGTCCCCCATGATCGTCATATACTGGCTTTCAAATGGAATTTAATTAATTAAATTATTTCTTTTGGGGGCCCATAGGAGGAGGGACTACAAAATTTTTAAAGATATGTGACTCAGCAAGGCTTGCTATAGTAAGACAGTGAGGCAGCAGGACATATCATTAAGAACTTGGTTTCCAGAATCAGAATTCCTAGGTTCAAATGTCACCTCAAACTATTTAATAACTATATGGCCCCAGGTAATTTATTTGACTTTAATTCTCACTTTCCTCAGCTACAACGTGGGAATAGGATACCTGCCTCAGAGGTCACTTGATGGTAAAATGAGATACTGAATGTAAAGTACTTAAAATATTTCCTGATACATATAAAAGCATTCAATATGTGTTAGTTTTTCTTATTCTTAATTAGTACTTTCTGAATCAGAGGAGGACAATAAAAAGGCGTGTGTGTGATGAAATCAATATGGACTTTAGCATCCAGACTGTGAACTGTAATACCATCCGCCATTAAAAGTAACCAAGATTCCTCAGAGAAATGGCTGCTTCCAGGTATGGGCAGGAAATGCATAAGATGATCCTGGAACATGGTATGATTCCTGAAACCAAGGAAGGCATCAAAACCCTCATGGCTCATGAAAAATGGAGACAAGAGCCATCTGAAAGGGGGTCTAACTGGTCAAAGATAAAACAATATGAATATAAAAAAATGATGCCGATGGATTTTTATATATCACATAAGGTAAGTTGACAATTCATAATGATACTCTCTGAAAACCACCACCACCACCCTTAGCCAACTAATAACGTTGCTAAGGTACCAACTTATTATTCTGAAAATTTACAAATAAAGGTAAATACTCAAGCATCTGTCATGTATTGGCTTTATTTTTTAGTTCCCTTATTAGCAGCAGGAAAATAAAGAAGAGTAAAAATTGGGAAAACCACCTCTTGGTAACCCCTAATATAACAGATTTAGGTAATAATCTTCAATGGATAAAATGGTGAAAGGCTGATGGACAAGTTTATGATAGATGGATTAGAAGCATAGCTCCCAAACTCACTGATCAGTCTTAGAACTAAGAGTGAACAATCTGCTACCCCATTCCTTTGAAAGCAACATCACAGAAATACACTACCGCCCATGTAGTGTAAACTAGTCTCACAGCTTCATGAATATAATTTTGGACACAGCACCCTTGCTCATGCCATTCTCCTGCCTGCTATTTCCTCTCTTCTCCATCGATCTAAATCCCACCCATCTTTAAAGAAGTAGAGTAAAATTCACCTCCTTCATGAGATTCTCCCTGATCTTTCCTTAAGAAAACTACACAGTTCTTCAGAACAAGGATCATGCATTACAACATAATGCCTAGGAGCTTTCTTATTACCATCAAAGTTTTCAGTGAAAACATGTTGATTTAACTGAATATTTAATATAACACTCTTAGAGAGATTACTGAATTTTAGGGGTTGGGGAACCAAAGAAGTAAAAAGGTTAGAGATTTTAAATTAACAGTAAATTGGAATTGGTACTTGAATTTCAAATGCAGTACTACACTTGCTATCACCTTGGGCCACTCATTTAACAGCTCTAAAATGTAAGATGAAAAAGCTAGACTCTCCATTTTTTAATGTATAGATACTGCACTTGCCTCTGGAAGAGATTTCCCAAGGGCTTTTGTGGACTGTAACTAGGAAAGCTTATTACTAAATGTTACTCATCAACAGAAGCTGAACTTTATGTAAAAACACACAAAGCAAAACAGTGTCCTTGATCCACCAGTTTTTTAAATACAACTGAATCAGTGAGAATAAACTGCATGATGATTTTGAAGACCGTATAAAGTAGGACTGCCATATCTTTTAAAGATATTACATTCAATAGGCCATCATATGGTAGCTGCATCTCTAGGAGAGGTATCATCTTTCCCACCATAGCATTACAAGTCTGCCATCCCATAACTTGGAGCTCAAGGTCTAAGATGTATGGTACGAAGGTAGAAATTTGGCTATCAAAGATTACGACCTTTTTGAGAAACCCCTATGGTTTCGCGGCATATTGCAGAGATGCTCTAGGACAGAATGTACAACAAGAACTGAATACAGAATGAGATTAGATATTAAGAGGATAAATTCTACTTTGCCTTAAGAAAAGAGTGTTGCTCTCTGGGCAGGCCTTGTGTATTTAGGAAGGTCATGACCCACAGTCTGCCGTTCAGGTTGGAAGTGGTGGTAAGCTCAACCAAACAATGAAGCCTGCACAGTTTGCCCTCACCTTCACTCCCTGGGGATGCCCAGGCTGGAAGAGAAGAGAGGTGTGTCAGAATTAGCTGCACCCACTACTAGTCTTTAACGAGCTTAGGAGAACACCCAAAGTGAGTACCATTAGCACATAAAGGGGAAGGAACCATTCCTGCTGCGGAACTCGGATTTCTTCAGGAAAGGGAGGCTGGTTCCATGAGAGAGCCCAACTGCAGTAAAGTGATGGGCTAATGGAATGAACTGGGGAAGCTAAGCATGGGGCTGTGGGGATGAGAGAGCAGAGATTTTCGGAACCCAGAAAAAGAGTCAGGGCAAGAAAAGCAAGAAGCAGCAGTTCCTTTTTCTCTGCACTGGCCCAGCAGCACCAGGGGCCCAGAAGTTACCTGAGGTTTCTTCACCTTAATGATCCAGGTGGGCGGGACAATAACAGCAGCGTGAGCCCCCAGGGAGCAGGGTTCCTCAATTTGATGCAGCATGAAGCAGGTCACCTTATTGTGAAACTGAGGAGAAAAAAAGGCCAATAAACAATCCTGGGCCAAGGGCACCACTAAAGCAAGAAGGAATTAAGAACATGCGCACACAGGCACTCACCCAGCCTCGCAGACATGGAAGACACATGCTCCTTATCACCACCCAAACAGCCCCGGAACTGAGAGACCAGATTTGGAACTCATTCCACTTTACAAACTGATAAAGAAATCAATCTTGTAGGTCAAGGCCAGCTAAAACTTTGTAAGCTTTTAATGGGATATTTATATAACGAGGTCTCGGAGGGTTCTATTAATCCTAACCCTGGATATAATTTTGTTGCACTTGACTTGCACTTGTCACAGACTTGATGTGGGATAATGCTGGGGAGGCAATGAAGGCAAGCAGAAAGGCAGGTTCTCTCACCTGTCCCTCTTTTTTCTAATCATAGGCGTAAATCCAACCCAGGTAGTCCCTCTAGTTTAGGAAACCCAGGAAAGAAGCAGCAGGTCTGTTCTAGAGAGTTCTTAATGCAAGAGGTAATGAAGAGATTGCCTCTGCTGGATTTGTCTGGGGCTGCTAAAAAATACCATGACCCTAACTACACTTGGTAAGTCTAAAAGGCTTCCTGTTTTTGAAAGGAAGAGAGTAAATGTAACTGATGATCATAACAATACCTCAGGATTAGTGGTTTAGCTCTGTACCAGTGGACTGAGTGACCATCATCTTTTGTGTGTAAAATGATAATGATGTGTGGTAACAATTTTTTCCTAGTAAACAAAATCCACATTATACAATAATTGTGGGCCTTAAAGTTTTAATCAGTGATTTTTAAAAACTTTAACATCCGTTTCTACTGTATTATACTTAGTGGAACCATACATTGTCATCTTAATGGGAACAATTTTAAGAATGAAAGGGAGCACTGCTAATAATTATGTTGGAACAACAAACATAAATGAGGACTGTCTCAGGAAACCTGGCAAATATGGCCACCCCAATTATGTCACAGAGGGAATTTGTCTTCATTTCTGCCTATCCTCACATGATCCCATAGCAAATTACTAATTAGGTATGAATGCAAAATAAGTCAGTAATTTCCTCTATGACCAGTTATTTGTGATCTGCAAACAGTGACATACTAGAGAATATTATTTGAATACCTTCTTCAAAAATTGACTTTTTCTCTTTTTTTTTTAAAGATTTTATTTATTTGATGGAGAGAGATACAGCGAGAGAGGGAACACAAGCAGGGGGAGTGGGAGAGGGAGAAGCAGGCCTCCCGCGGAGTGGGGAGCCCGATGCGGGGCTTGATCCCAGGACCCTGGGACCATGACCTGAACCGAAGGCAGACGCTTAGCTAACTGAGCCACCCAGGTGCCCCCAAAATTGACTTTCTTTTAAGCAATTCAAATAAATCCCTAAATGGATGTTCAGTGCATTTCTAAAATGGTCAAGATCCCCCAAGATGACCCATTTCAACTGTCAATTTATAGTCGAGTAATTGCCAATCCAACAGACTAAGAGTTATGTCCAAAAGTGCCTAACTTTTACAAGGTGGAGTCAGAGCCTAAAGCCCAAAAAGCCAGCTCTTGAACCCATTTTTTTCCCCTGCTGCAGAAAGTGCCTATAGACAGCACTTGTTTGACATCAGATATCCTAGAAGGGATTACCTGGAGGGTTAAAATATATCACTGGTGTAATTTGTCTCAAAATGTTTTGTATCTTTAATTCTTGCAAAATCACCTACAATGTGATTCAACTGGACTATGAATTAATGACAAGAGAACATGTGCGCCACGTAAAGTGGGAGTGAGTTCCCAAATTAACGGACGCTGGATAACCCATCTCATCACAGCCTGGTAGCACAGGGGTGGAGCAGACGAAGTCTATAGGAGCCCAAACCACCAGTGATGCTCTCCCACAGGTGGGGCCTCAACAGATCAGGGAAACTAGCAGCACAGATACTGTCAGGGACAACTGGAACCTGGATTAGCTTCTTTCTCTCCAGGTGGATATACTGCTTTGCTGGTATAGTTTCATTCAAGAACTAGGATGACCTTACATTTGTGAGCATGTTCTTGAACAGAAGCACAAAGATTATTTGTGTAAAAACTGACGGGAGATGGAAATGCCTAGAAAATGTGGCAGGATAGGGATACAGTGAGCAATGAGCTTTCCAGACCAATGCATCCCTACCTAGCAACAGTAGGTTCTCCTGATACTTGGGTGCCTAGGGAAATTATGCCAGAGAGGTTAGGTCAAACTTTATAAGATTCCCCAAATTCAAAAGTTTTTGACCCACAAAAATGTCAATTTTATGTGTTTCAACTAAATGTATCTGCTCCTGCCCTGTGGGCTGTTTTGGCTAGTTAAGTCTGATGTGTGTAGAGGGCTGAAGTCTTCCTGTAGACCCTTAAATTACCTGGAACACTACAGCCCTTTCTTTTCAGGCTGGCTGTGCAATGAGTGGACTCTACGTCCCAATTATATAGTCATTCAACAAAGTAGGTGAACTGGGAGATTAGAGCAGGGCTCCACAAACTTTTTCTATAAAAGGCCCACATAGTAAATAGTTTAGCTTTAAGGGGGCCATACTTTCCCTGTTGCAACTACTCAACTCTGCTGTTGTAACCTGAAAGAAGCCATGGACAATATATAAATGGATGGGCATGGCTGTGTTCCAATAAAATGGTATTTATAAGAACAGGCAGCAGTCAGATTTGGTCTATGGGCCATAGTCTGTCAACACATGAGTTAGCACTGTCTGGTTAAAAACAAAACAAAACAAAACAGGTGCATAAGCAAACAAGAAAATGAACCACCTGATTGGAAGAGAGGTGTTAAAAAATGGACAAAGGATAGATAAAAGAGGAAAACAGGGAAACTACCATTGGATCCTAATGAATATATATGCTCAAATGTAAAGAAGAGTTACATTTCAATGAGTATACACACAGCTATAACAATATCCAAGCCTAAAGAAGGGTACGAGACCACTCCTTACCCCAACAGCACCCCGTAAGAAAGTCACCCACATCAAAAACAAGAACCAACATGGCTGGATTCTGGTGTTAGAGGGATTATCTAATGTTGCAACTTCCAACCATAGAGGAGTTATCAACAATCTAGTGTTGTGGAAGAAATACAGTCTATGGGGTGAGAAGTCCTTGATTCTAGGCCCAGGTTAGAACCAGGGGAGGATTTCCCAGTCTCTGATCCTAGGCTTCAGTGTATATAAATGAAGGGGTTAATTGATCTCTATAGTTTCTTCCAGGTCATATAGGCTATAGTTCTATAGTTTTAATCTTTCTTCCTTCAAGGATCCTACATGAGAGAAATAATACATAAATTAGAATAACCTTCCACTTATAGACAGCAACTTGGGTAATGACATAAGTCTACTGTGATAAAACATAAGCCCATTTTGTTTCATTTTGTCCCCAAACTTACCGCCTGCTTGCACCAGGAACAGCTGATAGCCACAATCTCTTTACTGTGGAAGGAGAATTTTTGCTGGAAGCCCTGGGATGTTAGGACAAGAGATAGAGAATTTAAAACCACTTCAATCACAGCACGCATTTGACCTCCTGAAGTCCAATGAAGCAAGTAAGGCCAAAAGTGGCCCTACCACTCAAGGTAACTCAAGGGACTGCAAATGCCACATTCAGCACTTATGTCCTCCACTCTCTGCCATCCAAGAACTTCCCACTCCTGAAACATCTGGATCATGAGAGGAGGCACCAGTATTTTCTGTGCCACTAACTACTCAAAGTCAGCCACAAAAAGAGTTGTTTCTTTTCCCCAAATAAATGTGGTTCAGATAGGATTTTATTATAAGCAAAGGCAAAGCCGCTATTGGGTCATGTGGTTCTTTGTAAGGCTGGGCATCCATCTCAGAGGGGCTGCACAACGTTAACATCTGAGAACCCACAAAAAGAGAAATTAAGTATCAGTGTTAGGACCTAGAAGTCAAGGTCTGGGAAGAGTCCAAGGGTGTTGTAGGAAATTCAAACACTTTCACCATCCCCTTGGGACTCAAAACAAGCAGTTTTCAATTTTCATTCTTCACTAGCAAGCAGCAATGAGATTAATGGAAGAGCAAACACAATCCTCTTAAATGAACAAACAGAATTACTTTTCCATCAAGAACGGAAGAGATGCTTTTTGGCGGCTGTTGTCCTTAAATAATTACCAGAGAGAAGTAGGCAGTAATACTCAAAGAATTTTATTTAGCCTTACCAAAGCTCATCCATTTCTATCTGCCTGTGACATCTAAACCCAAATAAACTAATGCAAGACAATGAAAAAAAAATTGAAATAGGGATTTTGTAAAGTGATCAAAAGAAAACAAAGACGCGATGGGCAGGGAAGCTATTAAAGTGCTGGCTGGAAAAGTCTTGCTTTAATGTGTACAGATCATTTTAAGAAAAAAAAATCAATTTACACATTACTATAAGAATTCCTAATGGCACTTTTTTGCAGTCCCCAGGATTCCTACCAATCTATAGCATTGTACAATGGAGGACTTCTTCCATTTTGAGCCTCTCCCTTCTCTTGGGTTCCTAAAACACACTCATGTTCTCCATCTGCTTCTCTTATCTCCTGCACGTGACAGAAGACCAGGACCACTTTCAGCCCTCTGGGCTCTGTGGTTCCTCCTTGAATCCTCTTCTTTTGTCCCCAACTCAAACCTCATTTCCAGAAACATGACTTAATATCAGACTCCCCTGAATTTTGAAACATTGCTCCATCAATACCCCTTTCTCAGCAACTGAAGTGCTAACAATCATTCCAAGTGCAGAGGACTTAATGCAGCAGGCTGGAGACTGCTGTCCTTACAAGGCCTGCTTACAAGGTTGACCCTTGGCTGGCATCTAGAAACCTGGATTTCAAGAGGGTTCCCCAATTCCCCCAAACACTTAAGAGCGGCTCACTGCACCGAACATGTTGGTACAAACAATGTGGTTTTGCTGAACACCTGCTTTCCTTTGGAGAGTCTGGGATTTGGGTATGTGCCATGCAGAACGTGCTTACGTAACCAGTCCCCAATAAAAACTCTGGGCACTGAGCCTCTAATGAGACCAGTAGACAATATTTCACACGTGCTGTCACAACTCGTATTAAAGGAATTAAGCACATCCTATGTGGCTCTGTTAGGAAAGGACTTTCAGAAGGTTGCACCTGGTTTCCTCCAGACTTTGCCCCATGTATCTGTCCCTTTGCTGATTTTGCTTTGTAGCCTTTCATTGTAATAAATCACAGCTGTAATACTTACTGAGTCCTAGGAGTAATCCTAGCGAATCTTCAAAACAGGTGGTCTTGGGGACCCTAACACGCTCACCTCTCCCCCAAAAATTGCCTCCTCCTGTCAACAATACTGTCATTTTCCACAGTAAGGACGCACTGTTTGTAAAACACACATGGACTTCATTATTAGGATAGGTGTGGTGTTCACTGCTGTGTGGCAACAACCCACACTTCCCCAGCACCGGGAGTGAGAACCTCCTGACAGAAAGGGCTCACAGAGAGGACACAAAGTCAGGGGGCCAAAGGGTTAGGTAGCCCGGTCCTTTCAATTCAATATGGTATAATTCAATTCAATATGAGTCTATGTGGTATAAGATGGAACCAAGTACGAAGGAATGAATTCACACGGGAGGTGTTTGCCAAGTTCGCCATCACCTCTCGGGCCACTCTTGATGGACCGGGTGAAAGGGAGATAAATAAAACTTCCCTTTAGGGCCATAGCAACAATTTGTGAGTGTGTGAGGAAGGAAGCTGTAGCCAAGAGCAAATATACTGAAGCAGGTGCAGGGTCTGCACAGGGACCCCAGAGGCCAGCCGGGGCAGCATGACCAGGTCCCCCCAGCCTGCTCCTCCCAGCCAGCAGCCCTCAGGCCCCACTGATGGGTCACTTCACATCGGGACATCCAATAGAAACTGATGGAGAGATGGCAAAGTTAGCTCCATTTGCTAACTTCTTTCTCCCGGGGTAGTCTGTTTCCCCCTGTGTTCTTTTTTTTTTTTTTTTTTTAAAGATTTTATTTGACAGAGAGAGAGAGACAGCGAGAGAGGGAACACAAGCAGGGGGAGTGGGAGAGTGAGAAGTAGGCTTCCTGCAGAGTAGGGAGCCTGATGTGGGGCTCGATCCCAGGACTCCGGGATCACGACCTGAGCTGAAGGCAGACGCTTAACGACTGAGCCACCCAGGTGCCCCCCCCCCCCCGTGTTCTTCATTCTATCCTGGGCACAGCCACCAGGGAAAAAGCTACTTCTTATATATCAGTGTCTGTCTCAAAATACCCAAATAACTACTTTCCTCAAGATTACAGAATCAACTATCATACTGGCATTTAGAGCCATCCATAATCTTCCCAACATTTGTACATCAATCTCCCAAACCTCACTATTGTAAATTCTTACGTTTAGTGGGATGGATTTAATTATATTTCCAACATGCTCTATTCATTTCCATGTTTTTGCCCACTTTTTTTCCTCTGTTATCCTCAAGCCATCATCTAGATGCCTACCACTATTTCACATACAGCATCGGACTTTACTTCCACTATGAAAATCCAAGTCTTCTAAGATCCCCTCAATTCACTGTGATGCTCCTGCTAAATTATAAGCCTTTCCACCTGGTCCTCCCTTTAGCATTAATGAACAGGTGCCCTAAGTTGCTGGTTATTTTATGTGCACATGAATTATCTCTCCAATGGAATTATGAACTCTTGGAGAGAAGTCCTTGTAATACTTCCTTTTTTTTTTTAAAGTAGGCTCCATGCCTAGTGTGGAGCCCAATGCACAGCTTGAACTCATGACCCTTAGATCAAGAACTGAGTTGATACCAAAAGTCGGACGCTTAACCGACTGAACCACCGAGGCACCCCATAATATTTCTTAACAGGTCTCTACAATTCAGCATAGTTTTTTGAAAATCACAGGCATGGTGTATTTTCTAATTGAATAAGAAAGTCACTGCTACCACACTGTGATCCAGTTATAAATTTTATGCTATCCAGACCTTAAAAACTTAACCCAAACCACCTGAAAGTATGCCCCTTACTGCATCTTCCTCCAACCGCTCTAGACATGGCAAGCATAGTAGGATTCTGATTTTCATTTTTTAAGTCTGTGACCTTGACATGCTGCATGGCTGACAATCAGTATGGTAGAATTGGTGACGTCACAGCAGTAGCCACAACTGGAAGTCTGAATGTTGCTGGGTCAGATGTACTGGTGAAGAGAGTCTTAAATGCTATTACACAGCCACTATTCTGTCAACTCATACAGCAGGTGATTGAAGATCAAATAGAAGCTGATGGAGAGATGGCAAAGCTGGGAATAGTTCTTGGACCTGTTAATTATTGGCCTGGTGATTGGAGGCACACCACTTAACCCTTCCAAATTTCTCCTTTCACCTGAAAATGAGAATAAAAATACAAACTTCTCCTATACCACAAAATAGTTTTAAGTATCAAATGAGGCAGTGTACTGGAGAGATATTTATAACCCAGTAAATATAAATGAAGGAATACTTTTATTGCTGAGTTCTATCAACAGGAACCTGTCCCACCACCTTGCCGACGGACCCTCCAGTGACTAATAGGACTAGCGATATTCTATTTGATGGTACAGAGTGTATTAGCCCATCCCTCTACTGAATATTGGCCTTCTGGCTTCAGGGAGAAACAGACACAGTCCACTGTCGTCCCGGCAGCCAGGCCGATAGCAGAAACAAACAATAAGGCCATCCACAACTAGGGCTCTGGGCACTGTGCTCATATGGAATTGTGGTGGGTCCCTTGGAAACAAGGTCTGTGCTTTGTTTTGGATGCTAGTCTGGCAGAGTCACAGGAGCTATGGCTTCGGGGTTCTTGTCTAACATAGAGACATAAATAGAACCACATCAAAGCCTTCATGAACCCAGTTCCCACAGACCACCTGCAATGGGCAGATTTTGGCTGGGATCTCAGCACAGCAAAAAGAGCCAGATTCCTAATTACCCATTTTTAAATGCTGGCCCAAATCTAATATTATGGTACTGACAGATGCCCTTACTGAATTTCAGCTGACTCTGATTTTTAAGGACTATTTTGTTCATCACTATCAAAGAGTAAAATAGGAATGTGAGGTCAGATGCTTTGGATCTGACTTCAGAATCATAAATGCCATGAACCCTGAGAGATAAGGTCATTTTTTTTTTGGTTGAGTTTTTAATAAAATTGAGTCCTTGGAATAAAGTTTAAACAACACTTATTCTGAGCAGCTAAAGCTTTGCTGTATCTTTCTCTTCTGCAATCTAGAGCATATACCAAATGGCCCTCAGTTCTATAGCCTTGGCTTAAACTAGAAAAAAAAGGGGGGGGAGGGGGCTTGAAACAAACAAATGATTTTACTGTTTATGTATTTAACTGAGGTTTGGATAAGGGAATCTCCTGACCACTGCCTGATTCTGTTTGACTTCATTTTATCCAACAGAATTGATACTGCTCTTGCCTCTAAAACTTGAAACAACAAAA